ATCGTTTAAATTGCCGCCATTCATATGTTTGGAATTAGCCAAAAGGCGAATTTGCATGAAATTTGAATTCTATTTTTTTGGAAAGAGCAATTTTGAGAGAGAGAGAGAGAGAATTTGCAAAAAAAAGGAAGGGCAGTCCGTCTAGGTGTTCTTGCCCGAAGACAAGTTCCTTGTTAAACACCATTCATCAACTTCCTCTTATGGGATCTTCCCCCATTTTTTCAAGACATCTCAAAATTCTTGACGAGCCTCTAGAAAAAAAATCGTGACCCGCACGAAAAAAAAAGAGGAAGAGCTCCACAAATCAGCGTAAAAAAAACAACACATCGCGCAAAAAAATACCATAAATTCCCAAAAGAGTTGTAAAATGTTTTGAAAATCGCGTTCGAGTATAGTCAACTGCAAATTTGGCGGTTATGTCGAGAATATGATTCGTCGGAGACAAAGCAAGAAACAAAAGTGAGTGTGCGCGTCGGGGGACCTCTTGGGAGCAAATTTTTGGTCAGAGGGAGTGCCCGAACTTGGTTTTTCCCTATTCATAACCACTCTTTCTTCTTCTCCTTCTTCTTCATTTTGTCGTTTCCTTTTTTGTTCGAGATTTTCGCCTCCTTCTGATTCCGGTGGCGGCACTCACTTTGTGCCTCCTCCCCCCTTCCAAAAAAAAAAACTTTGTCTTCTTCTTCTTCTTCTTCTTCTATCAAGAAAAAATGGACAAAAAATGGCATAAAATGTTTTCGCTCGGTTTCCGTCCGTTTATATTGATGTACATACATTCCATAAAGAATTTTGCGTTTCTTTCGGCGTGCGTTCGGTGGCCCCATCGTCCAAACACATTCTCTGATTGTTTTTGGCGGCTAACCTAATTGCGCTGCCGGGCGGGCCGGTCGGATGCGGTTAGGATCGCCAAGAAAATATCTGGCGTCTCACGAAAAACATCAAATTTTCGATCTTCGAGAAATGAAGCGCGATAACGCCAAAAAAAAAACGTCGCCAAATATATACGTTGTTTTTTCTTTTTTTTTTTAGTCTTTGGCTTAAAAAATTGAAAGTGTTTTTTCCAAAAATCTCAGTATTCTTTGAAGTTTCAAATAAAAATTTAAAAATCAGGATGGAAAAGTTGTCATTTTTCTCTCTGCACATTTCTCAAATTTCTGGAAAATTCCTGCAAATTGGTCTCGCAGTGTTCGCCGCCAAAATTTTTAATTTTTCTACTTTCTTTTTTTGTTTTCTTTTCCGATTCCTTTTTTATTCTGCTCCAAAAATTCAAAGGATTCAATTATTTAAGAAATTAAAATATCAGTACCATCCACTCTATCTTTTTTTTAATATCTCGAAAAATCTGTAGACATTCCAATCATCACAAAATGTCTAAAGATATCATTCGAATACAATCGACAATTTTTTTCAAATTTCTAGAAAATTGATTTGCATTTCATTCCCTTGATGCTTTCTTTATAGAAAATCTTGAAAATAGTATCATGATTTTCTACAATTTTCCGCGCTTTTTCTTTGATTTCAAAATTGAATTCAGCGCTTAAAATTATATTAGTGAACCAATTTTTTGATCGATATGTGAAAAATTGGCGGAATTATAGTACCAAAACTGAAAATTGGTCAGAAAACTGAAAATAGGAAACCCTTCCCATGGACTTTCAGAAATCGTAAGAGAATCGTAACGAAATTAGTTTAAGACACCTATATTTTATTGCTATTAACCATTTCCTTTCATTTTTATCATGGTCCGAACATGCGACGTAAAAATTTGATCGAAGATGTTCGAGGTTCCAGATTTCACTCGCTTAAAACATCTTAATGATCTGATTGTTTTTCAATTTAATTTTGAAATCCACATTTCAAAATTTTGCCAATGACCCAAGTTATTCACAATAATACGATTGGCCCTGAAGTATTCAATTTTTATTTTTTTTATTCTCCTCTTTTATATTTTAAACGTTCACCCTTTTAAGGAAAACAAAAGATGCTTTCTCGATTTCATCAATCTCGTTTTGAATTCGTTTGATTGTGTCCCTTTTCGCTTTAATTCGATTTTTTCCCAACATTTTTGATTTAATAAAATTAAGAAATCAAATTATCAATTAAATGATATCAAAGAGAAAAACAAACTTTTAATATGTCTCGCATTTTTTCCGCAATCTCCGACCTCCCATTTCTGACCATTAAAAAAAGAGCAAATAAATACGACGTCAACATTCTTTTTCTTTCGCCAAAAACCAACGAGAACAAAATTCCGAAGAAAAACGACCTTTTTCAATTCACCTCACAACTTTTTAATGTTTGCCTTTTTCTAAACAACAACAAAAAATATGTACGTAATTCCTATGAACAATTGGCCCCCGAAAATCAAATTTGTCGATTTTATTCGAATCCAATTTGGATAGTTTTTATGTTTCATTTTCATTGATACACAAAAAATTCCATATTTCATTAATTTTATTTGCTTTTTTCGTGAAATTGCTTATAGTCGGCGTCTGGAGACAGCTGTACGCGGGGTAGATTTACGGGGTGCGCCTTTCTCTTGGTCTCGCAACGTGTCAACGTTTATCTTGCTGTTTTCACGTGATCTGTTAAGTTTTTCTTTATGACTTTAGTATAGTCGGCGTCCGGCGGCAGCTGTAGGCGGGTAGATTTACGCGCATGCGCCTTGAAAAGATCTCGCCACGCGTGAACGCTTATTTTGCTGTTTTCATGTGAACTGCTTAATTTTTCTTGATGAGTTTCGCATTTCCTTGAGTTCCCAACGTAATTCGATTAAAAAATTATCGAACCGATCCATAAAATTTGAAATAACCTGTTAGTTCTTGCGAGACCATTTCGAAAGACGCATGCCCGTAAATCTACCCGCGTACAGCAGTCGTCCCGGACGCCCACAATATAGGTTTTTTTTTCCAAAATTTCTTTTCACATTGATATCGTGACATTAAAACATTGAAATAGAAAATTAAAACGATCTTAAAGTTTTTTAAAGAAACCGGTAAAAAACGAAGAAGAAATTCTAAAAACCCAAAAAGCTTAAAAACTAGATTTTATGAAATCGGATGATTTCATTTTTTGAAAAAATGAAATTATCCGATAAAAAATGTTTTTCAAATTCATCATTAAGTATAGTAGTACTAATCTTGGCGAATTCCATCCTGCTCGCCGAGTTTTTTGTTGTGAAAACTCAAGCATACACTTGTCTTGTTCTTAATTTCTCAATTGTTTTTCTCCTCCGCTGACCACTCCCTAAGGATTTTGAGAATAAGAGAAAGTCTCGAACAAAAAAAAAAACGGAGGCGTTAGGTACAAGTTCGGACTCCAACGACCGAGAATAATAGGTCGCTTCTTATCAAGTATTCACCTTTCGCTCACAAAAAAAATAACAGAAAAGAACTGAAAGAAAACTCAAACAAAGTGCGGTCAGTTCGTTTTCTTCAAATTTTGTCCTTTTTTGGTTTGAAGAACTCTTCAGTTTTTTCTTTGTCACGGTTGTTTCTAACATTCGTGCAAAATTCTGGGTCCAACCATGGCGAATTAGTAAAATTGTATTAAATTCTGCAATTACTCAGGTAAATGAAAATCAATCGGATTCGAAAATAATTTCTACTTCAATCGAAATCGAATATAAATTCATCTGTTTCGAATTATTCCAAAATTTCAATCGAATTCGATTTCAAAATTGAAATTGAGATATAAATCAATCGATTTCGAAAATTTTTGAATCGAAACCAAGATTTCAAATCGAATTTAAGCGTTTTCTCAATCAAATTTGAATGTTATTTAATGAAAACAGGTTAATTTATATTTCATTTTTTTTTTCGAATCCGATTGAATTTCATTTACCTGAGTATCTAATTTATCGTTTTCTTGAATGATACAGCAAAAAAGTTTTTCAACTGTATTCCACTCCATTGAGTGGTTCAAAATTGCGACTCATGTCCAATTTGGGCACATTAAGCACCGTTCTGGAGCAACTTTCTATTTTTCACCAAATCACTAGCGCATATTTGGTGCAAATTTGGAGCGTCTGCCTTCCAAGGGAAGTGTTTTTTCTATTCGTCTTGAAAGTTTGCCTAATTTTGCACACAAATGTTTAAACCAAGGCTTTTGCGGCAATGAAATTGCCGATTGAACAAACCACTCGTACTACTGAAATCTATTATTTTTTTTCTAAACGCCGGACGGTGCCCACACAACGCAAAACCCTCAGAAAATCTCGACAGAAAATTCTGATTCGAAGACGAGCAAGTTGTTCAAGTACGATTTTGACAGTCAGGATCTCTAGAATGTGTGTGCAATATTACACAAAATTCCCAGACCAGACGGATAGTAGAAACACTTGCCTCGTTTGAGGGATACCAAAAAAAAGTGTCGGCTGTTCGTCTTCGGAGAATTCAGATTATTTGGTTAATCGTTTATTACTTCGGAATATTTGGCAATAAAACCTTTTTTACTGCATTATCCTTCAAATCTCCCAATTTTTTTGCAATTTTATGGTCTTTATGAGTTCTCCCAACTAAAAATATATACTACCCTTATATGAGGTATCTGCGTCCCAAACTATTTCGGTCCGAAATATAAAATCCATTTCATAGTACTCATAAAATGTTTGATAGTATTGGTTGTACTAAACCCTTCTTGGTCCCCCATTCTTCTATCATTTTTTCTTGACTTTTTATTGAAATTTCGCGAAAATCTTGATTGCTTTGAAATGCTGAAAGATATTCAAAGTTTTCAACGAAAAATACTCGCCGAAATTGGTTTTTGCGTGGAAACAATGGCCGAATCGCCATTCCGGAGTCGGCCGCCACTAGCCAAACCCCACAATTTTCCGCAAAATAATTGTCGTTTGGTGCAAAAATTGGTGCCAACCGCGATTTTTTTTCGCATCTTATTCGCACTTTCGCCGAATTGCAAACATTTCTTCGCAAATTACAGATTACAATTCATCGATCCAAAATAATGTGATATTCTTTCGTTTCGAGTCCTTCAAATATCACACAATGCGCAATATTTTATTTGGTTTGTTTCTAATTAATGTAAGTTTTAGAAATTGTAAATGCGTTATCAAAAGTACTTATCTAACTTTATTTAAACTTTGAAAATGAAAAAGTTTGCTTTGAAAATGTAGAAACAAATCACAGTACATAGTTTATGTAAAATTGCGTCAATTACGGTTCAAGTCCGCAATTTTGCGTAAACCTAAAAATTCGATTTAAAACGGATATTTTCTCGTGTTTGGTGAAATAATAGCAAAGTTTTGGAGAAAAACTTTTTTAAAAAATTAATAGAAAAAAATATTATTTCTTTCAAAACGGCGAAACCGCGTAATCTGCGTGTTTGCCGAATTCTTATTATGTACATTATAATCCAATTTTTGTTCATTAAAAAAATTTTCGAAATAATTATTTCGGCATTATTCCAATTGTTATTAATTTTTTAGTCTTTCAATTTATCATTATCAATTGGCTGGGCGACATGGTCCCCATGGAGTCAGTGTTCAAAAACGGTAATTTTATTTTCGGCTATTTCGAATATCGAAGCGATTTAAATTTATTCCAGTGCGGAGGCGGAGTTTCCAAACAACTACGACGATGCTTAACCGCAAAATGTTCTGGAGAAGCTGTTCGATATCGAGTTTGTGGGCAGAAAGTGAGAATCTTTCGAAAATGTTCGAAACAATTCAAACGTTCAGGATTGCGAGTCAAAATCAAGGCTAGCTCGTGATACAGTCTGTGGCGGAGAAGAGATTGTCTCAAAACAACAGGTAGTCATTAATTTGTTGGCGTTTTCAATAATCACAAGAATTTAAATATTAATTGAACATAATTTTTATACAGTGTGAAGTAGTTTGTCGCTCACGAGCCACGGGTGCCAGTTTTCTTTGGAGAGTCGATGATGGCACACCGTGTCAGGCAGCAACAATTCGGGCGGTGTGCAGCAAAGGTGTATGCCAGGTTCGGCTCAAAATCTGAATTATTTTTGATTTCCTATTTTCTTTTTGAGATGGTTGGTTGTGATGGTCTCGTCGGTTCCTCATTTCGATTCGACGCCTGCGGAGTCTGCGGTGGTCGAGGAGACACATGTGAAAACGGGAAGTTCGTCTGGAAAGTCTCAGGTACATCTGCTATCGTCTATTACGACTTTTTTTTGATATAGACGAATACACGGCGTGCGCCTCGAATTGCGATGATGTTATTGATTGGAGTGGAACTAGCCGAAGTATTGAAGCCTATTCGCAACCGATTGTTGTTTGTGTGAACGCAGCGACGGGAAGAGTGGTCCCGGAACGATTATGCGCGGATAGACCTCGGCCGAAAGTCGAGACGAGACCCTGTCCGACACTGATATGTCCTTCAAGGTACGAAATGTCGAGAAAAGGGGAAGGAAGAACTTCTGCAAATCTGAAAAAAGTTATAATTTCAAAGCAAGAAACTGAAATGATAATATCAAACGTTTCATCCTTCAAGTTAAAAAAAATGCTCGGAGCTTGTGGATGATTTTTGAAAAATCTTTTTTGGGATAGATAGAGTTCGGCAGCCAGCGAGATTCCAAATTTTGTGGGATCTGCGAAACACCCCCCTGATTAAAACAACTTCAGATCGTAACAATATACATATATACATAAATAAATTTTTAATAATTATTTCAGATGTCGGTGAGTTGAAAATAGTTTCCTTTTTTGGGTAAGAGGTGTGCCCCTATCAATCGGGGATGTTTTCAGTTTTCATTCTCTCAATAATCTTATTCTTTCGTTTAGTTTGTTTGCTTTTCATCGTGTATTCTCTTTAACTTCAACTTCATATTATTCACACGTGTGTTCCACTAACAAAGCATGTCTGGAGAACTGACTTCTTTCGAGTTCATTTTTTTTCTATCTACCACCAAATTTCAGGTGGATGACAGCCGATTGGACGGAATGTGTTCCGTTCTGTGGAGCGGGCAATCGAAGAAGGGAGGTGTATTGTGTGCAGACTTCGCAGAATGTCACCGTGCACGTGCCGGACGCGTTTTGCGAGAATTCGACGAGACCGGTACGTTTTTCGAAGATTGTCCGCAGCATGTTTTCATTTTAGTCTATTGTTTCATTTTAGTCTATTGAATGAGCATCATCGTCAATGAGCGGGCATTTTTGAAACATTTACTATTGTAGACGTCACGCGACTTCGGAAAATTAGCTTAATGTCAAAAAAAACATCGAGAATGATAATGGTCTTGCCAAAAACAACACTAAGTGTGGATTTACGGATATAGGTTAAAGGCACACATCGGAGCCGCAACATCATTCTCCAAATTTTTTGGCTTTTTTCCAATTATTCTCTAACTGAGACGATTTTTGAAAATTTTGTTTGAACTACGAAATTATTCAATTCAGTTCAACAATTAAAACTAAAGAAAAAAAATAGATTTGAAATTTTCAGGCGTCAGAAGAGACGTGCATGTCGTCATCTTGTGGCCGCTGGGAGGCCGGCAAATGGAGTCGTTGTAGCGCTTCGTGCGGCCAAGGTGTCCGTCGACGACATGTCTCGTGCATCGGCGGAACAGATTGCGAAGAAGCGGTCCGGCCGCGAACAGAAGCCACTTGCTACGCGGGCATTCCGTGCAGTTACCACGCCAATCGGTCGGTTCCTCCTTTTTTTGGAAACCCGCGTGAGCACGCCGCTTTACATTTTGTCATCAATCATGCTCGATCATGTCAAGTAGTTTATGGGATTATAATACGTAGTTTTCGATTTCGAAAACCCCGGAAGAAACATTGTACGAAAAATATATAATGGATTCATAATACTAATGGATTAGTGCGTTATTTTCAGTATTGTTTGTGAGAAATTCGATGAAATTCTCACTCAAATATGTCTCAGCAAAAACGTATCCGCAGATGAAAATTGAAATAATCCATACTTTGAAGGCTCTAATGCATGCCTCAAATTTTTACAGATTGTTCTCGTTTCTTTCAATGATTTTCGAGAATTTCAAAATTTTCTGATAAAGGTCCATTCTTTTATTGGGACTATCGTGCTAAAAACCGCACCATTTGTGATAATTTTGTTCGGACATAAGATTTAACCTTCACTCTTAACCATTTCATGGGGATCCACGGGAGTTCTCAAAACTTATCAGTTTGTCCCTGCCGATACGACACTCCATTCACACATCACCCTTAATTTGGCGTGTCGACCTAACCCGTGGGTCTCGTAATTTACCCAGGAATTTACGCATTTTTTTTAAAGAGATTCAACTCATTTTTTAATACGACAAAAGAGGGTTAATTGAAAAAAGAATAATTTTCCAATTTTTATTTGCGTCATCTCATGAAGCATCTTGAATTTGGAATATGAATCCGTGTTTTGGGCATAAATGGCTGGCGACCACCCATCTGTCGAAATCCCAATTAGTAAGCAAAAGTCGAGAGTTGCCCACTGATTTTCGTTAAATGGTCCGTCCGTGCACCTCTTCACGCGCGCGCGCGACCCCCCCTCGAGGTCGTCGTCGCCGTCGTATTGTTCTCGTCCAGCTCCCAATGTTGCTGCTGCTTGTGCTCGTGCTCCAACCCGTTGTCTTCCTCGTCGTTTTCCCGTCTCCCATTTTCTTTCAAATACATTGATGGGCTCTTGAGAAGTGCGGACCGCCGAGCCACGCCCACCTCATGCGTTATAATTGGCCGACTCCGCCCACTAGGAAGACAGAGAGGCGGCGCGTCGAAATTTCAGGGCTCGCGTCACTTGGTCGGCTTTTTTTTATTCGCCTATTCGTTCTGTGTGGCCAAAAATTGAATTCGAATCGCAAAAATATCGCCCAAAAAAGGGGAATTTCGCGATTAATTATGCATCTATTATTCCTATTATTCTTCCTGTCCACTGCATACGCATAGTGAGTTTTTTTTTTGGCTTTCCTCAAATTTTGTTGGGAAAACTTTTGTTGTTTTGTTTTTTTTTTATTTCATGAACATCCAATCGCTTTTCAATGGTCCCTAGGCGCGGACTTTTTTATTGTCATTGGCCGTTTAAGAGATTATGAGAGTTTGGAAAAAAAAGCAAACGGAAACATGAGAAGATTTGAGAACGTGATAATGTTGATGCAAAAAAAGCGAACGGAAACGAGATAAGGCGATTTTGGACGAAAAAACAACAAAATCAAAGAACATTAAATCATCTTGAGCGATATTAACCAGTTTCATACCCTATTAGGCGATTTGTCGCGAATTCCTACAGTAATTATGATTGTTTCGTTGTAGGACCAATTTTTAGTGATACACTGATCGTTTGAATTTCGAAATTTTCAAAATTTGTGGATAGCGTCGTCAGGTCTATTCATCGAAGATTTTTTTTCAATAAAATCGACCTGCGGACATATTCTAGAAAGAATTTTTTTCATTAAAAAAATTTTTTTGGTCCTTACGCCCCGTTATTGCTCCATTGTTCTAAATATGGCCTCGAACTCATTGTTGTCCACTTGAGAGTGCTCTCCCAAGCAGGGACCATTATGCAATCGGCGAGCCCAACCGCGCGTTATTATTATTATGATGAATAAATTCCATTGGACAGCTCGATTTTGGACGGAGTGATTGTTTCCCGTCGGCGAACACCTCGGAAGTGCATATGATTCAAATTCGCACATTTATTCGCATAATTGATTTTATTCCGCTTTCGCGCGCTTCCCGCTCCCCCTCCCCCCCAGTTTCTCGACTCTTTTGCATAATTTGATGAGCGGACCATCCCAATTTGTGGTCCATTCAGTATAAATCAAGCGACAAAAGGTGTACTACGAATTATCTTTTTATGAATCTTGCGAGAATTTATTAAGAGGTTTTGATCGATGCGACGACCAGCTGCTAATTGTACGAATACTTGAATTTTGAAAATTAATGAATTTGTGAATGAAACGAGTAATTGATTGGAACTCGCATTTGAGGGGCTGAAATTGTCCGCAGATGGTTTACACACAACGAATTACTTTTTTAGGTTGAAATTTTGAAAATTTCTTGTTGCGTCCCAAACAATTCCATTCTTCGGGCTCAATGAGCATCATTATTTTCGCACACCTCATTGATTATTCAGATTTTCATTTCATGTTACCGAATATCAAGGAAATGCCCATTCTTATTATGTAGTGCAATTGGAAACCTGCAACGGTGTCCGCACATCGCACTCGTATCAGTTCGACCTTTTCGAAGAGCATTATCTACAGTAGTTTTATGTTGCACAATAACTGCTCTGTTTACTATGTGATGAATGAGTTCTCTCTGTCTTTGATTCTTTTTTGAGCCGCTTCCGTTATCATATAATCTAGGCGACTCGAAAGAACCGCAACCGCAATGTTGCCTTTTTTGGCGAGAATGTGATTAATGCACGACGAGTTCGCATGTGTGTGTGTTTTTTTTCCGGCTCAAAACCGAGTGTTCATGTGAGATGGCGAGAAATGCCGAATATATACATACATACATGGGTCGGAGTGGTTGGTGTACATCGAGAATCACAGCGTGGCCGCCCGCGGGGGGATTGCCTCGTTTGGCACCCATCCATTTGTCATTTTTGGTTCGGAAAAAAAAAAGCGCGCGCGCGCGGATTAGAAACTAAAAAGACAGAAAAGGAGACGAAGTGTGCTGCGATGCTTTGAGAAATGAGCACCAACCGAAATATCGCATTCCGTGTTTTTTTTTTGCAGTTTGGATTGGAATGATCGCGCTTATTTGGATGGAAACTCGTTCGGATCGATGGACAATAATGATTGGCAGGCGCCGAGGTTTGTCGTTTGATGAGTATGATGAAGTTGCATGTGACGCGCCAAGCTTGCGAAGTTTGAAATTGAGTTTTCTTCGAAAAAACAAAATACCGATTATCATTACGAGACCATTATTCGTAAGATTTCCATGACTTTTCAAATTTGGATAAGAATACGGTATTAAAAAGTGGGTTCGAAGTGACGAGGAAGTGCACACAAAAATCATTTTTGGATGAATTCTTGTAGCGAAAATCGATGAATATCAATATTTTTATGGATTTTTTTGATTGAAAAAGCTATTTAATTCGAATTAATTGGTCTATTTAAATTGACTGAACTCTTAATTTTTTGCGTTTTTTTTAAGTACGTGTTTTTCGGAATCATTTTTGCGTTTATGCAATTTTACAAACTTGAAATTTTACTTTATTTCCAGTCTTAAACTTGTAGGTAAGCTTTTTCTGAATCAATACTTCCCATATGAATATATGCATATATGGATTGTGCTGCTTACAATTTTGAGGGCGGCCCGCAAAATGTCGGATGCAGCATAACTTCATAGTGTTTGACTAAACAACTCAGTTTTATTGGGCAGATGAATATATCTGAATTTCTAGACTGGTGGCAGGCGAATGGAGTCCGTGCTCGGCGACATGCGGCACCGGTGTGATGTCGCGAAGCGTCGAATGCGTCGCCGTCAATCCGATCTCGTCGTCGCCCATCAAACTGCCCATGTCCGAATGTCAAGGTATGGCGTTTTTGGGAGGAAGCGAAAAAAAAACGAATGAGCATTCGCGTGGAAAACTAGCACATATAATTATTGGGGTGACACCTTTTCCGATGCCACAATGACATGTTTCGGCGACCTCTGTGCCGCCGAAAAAATAATGCAAAACAAAAGTATTTCGTATAGATGAATAAGTGGTGTTGAGATGAATCAATTTGACAAGTTATGCTCAATTTTTTTTTCGTTCTGGGAAGAAATGAGAAGAAAAAAAAGAATGAAATTGTGCAGGTTCTGCGAATCTTCAAATCATTAACAATATTGACAGTAGGTTTTATTGTTGTTTCTGATTTTTCGATATTTATTGATTCTCCCGATTCTAAAAATTTCAAAATAAAAAAAAACTATTTCGTTTTTTTTCTTCAAATTTGAATTTTTTTTTGTTTAAAGGATTGTTGTGGCACTGTTGTGTACAAATAGAATGAGCACATGCTCTGTGAGCCACCGAATTGGCACTTGGTATTAATAAGGGCTCTGTTTCTTTTTTCAGCTCAGGAGCAACCGAAATTGTTCGAATCGTGCGAGGTTCGCAGCTGTCCGCTTCAGGAAGACGCGAAGTTGACGGAAGACGATTCGCCCTATCAGTGGAGATATGGCGACTGGACGCAGTGTAGCGCGTCGTGTCTCGGCGGCAAGCAGAAGGCGGCGTTGAAGTGCATTCAAGTGGCTTCTGGCAAATCGGTACAGTGGTCGCAATGCGATGCGCGACGACGGCCGCCGGAGAAGAGTCGCGCTTGTAATCAGCATCCGTGTCCGCCGTTCTGGCTGGTTCGAGTTTCATCCAGCAATCAATTAGCTGAAAATGGTTTTCAGATGTCCAAATTTTCGACATGCTCGGCGTCTTGTGGTGGCGGAATCGCTCGAAGAAGTGTGAAATGCGCTCAGACTGTGAGCAAGACTGACGGCGCCGACGCCCACATCATCCTGCGCGACGAGAAGTGTCATCTGAAGAAGCCTAGCGACACCGAGACTTGTAATGCCATTGCGTGTCCTCCTACGTGGGTAGCGGCACAATGGTCCGAGTGCTCCAAATCGTGTGATTCTGGAGAACGACGACGACAAGTGTGGTGTGAGATCAAAGATGCTCGCGGTCGAACTTCTCGAAGGCCTGATGTCGAATGCGACGCCAACTCGAAACCGCAAAGTGTTGAGATGTGCAGCTTCGGATCGTGCTCGCGACCCGAGCTTCTCTCGAATCGAGTTTTCGAGCAGAACGCCGAACAGAAGAAGTTGACATTGAGTATTGGCGGTGTGGCGACGGTTTATCAAGGGACGAGCATCAAAATCAAGTGTCCCGCAAAGAAATTCGATAAGAAGAAAATTTATTGGAGGAAGAATGGAAAGAAAATTAAGAGTGATGGTAATTGAGCAACATTGACATTTTTGTTGGAATTTACACGTTTTGAATTTGAGCGCATATCAAAGTGTCATCGAATGGAAATTTGCGAATGTTCCACGCTCGAATGGAAGATGCTGGAGTTTATGAATGTTTCACGGACAAATCGCAAGGAAATGTGACGCTCTACTTCAAGTATCGCGATTTTCCTGCTGGATCTGTAAGCATATGTTTGTTTTTCAAAAAAATTGTTTTTCTAGAATAATCTCGAAAAATCCATCTGAAAATTGATGAATACTTGAAAACAAATCTTACGCTTATACTTCATTTTTTATGATATTCAACTATGAAATATTTTATATTGAAAACGAAAAATTCGAAAAATGCAATTTATCAAAAAAAAAATTAAAGCTTTTGAATGCTCTCATAAAACGCAAAAAAAAAAATAAAAAATGTTATTAAAAGTTTAATTTTCAATATTTTTTCAATTAAAAAAACTATGTTTTGATAAAAATAACTACAGAAAAAATTTAAAAATGCGCGATTTAGACTAAAGATGTACATCTATTAGTTACTGAAGATATAGGTTCTGAAGATTTAAATGATTTAGGAAAACTTCCGACTCACTAATCGAATTCCGACTGGCCGTCAGCCGGCCACCGCCATCGCATCTGCTAAAGTCAACGCCTCGCTGATCCAGGCATTGCTTGATGCTCCGAACGATGAGAATGCAAAGGAAGAGTTGAGGAAGTACAGGAGTCAATTGATCGCGAGATGGGACATTGGACACTGGTCGCAATGTCGTCAGAAGACGTGCCATGTTGCTGGCTATCAGGTAGGCAACATCCCAGAATCTCGACCTATTTGGTTAGGCTCGTTCGCTCGGCTGCAAAGTCTCGTTCCACGACGAGACGCGAACAGTGGACACGTCTATCTGCGAGGCGTTGGCCGCCGTTCGTCCACCAGAGACGAGACCCTGTCATCGTGAAGACTGTCCCCGATGGGAGGCATCTCAATGGTCCGAATGCTCATCGGTCCGCTGTGTGTCGAGTATGATCGCGCAGAAGAGGAGGAATGTGACGTGCCGCTACACAAATGGAACCACTGTCGATTCGTCGTTCTGCGATGTCACCAATCGTCCAGTCAATACCATGGACTGTCCAAATCGTAAGCATAAGTTGATGGGGTTTGTCGATAGAATGAGCTGGGGTGGTTCAGAGAATTGCAAGGCTGAATGGCGCACTTCCGATTGGGGATCGTGCAGTTCGGAATGCGGAACTGGAGGCGTTCAACTCCGCCTTCTATCGTGCGTTTGGGTCTCGTCTGGAAGGCCCGCCGGAAGGAACTGCGAACAAATGCGACGACCTCATTCAGCGCGTGCTTGTGTCGCTGACGAACCGCTGCCGCCGTGCATGCCGACGGCCAGTGCACTTCTTCAAATGGGTGAGAGCTCGTGGTGCATTTGTTTTTTTCTGTTTGTTTTTTGTCTTTTGCAATCCCCTCGCGATGTCTCAATATTCATCGGTTTCAGACGCTTCGTGCCAAGACCAATCCCGCTTCTGTGACATTATAAAGCTTTTCCATTCGTAAGTTGCCTTCTTCTTCTTCTTCTTTTCTCTCTCTCTTTTGCAATAATTTGAACCGCAATTGACGTCAAGAAAATAATTTAATATTTACCAGGGTTTAACTCAAATAAAAATCGAATCGTATTGACATTCGCGATAATAATTTTCACGCGGGATTACTGTAGAATTGTCAACAATCTTAATGCTGTAATTCAATTATTTTTAGATGCGACTCGCTCGAAGTCCGACAAAAGTGTTGCTCTACGTGTACATTCATTGAAAGAAAGAAATTTCGATAAACCGAATCGGACATAGGAATCTTCTTTGTTGTTGATCTCTTATGTTTTTTTTTCATTATTTCTTTACATATATTCGTTTTAATAACTGCTCCACAATAACTTTCGATTGTTTTTTTTCTTTTTTTTTCTTTACCTCTCTCTCTCTCTATAATCATTTAGAGATTTTGCAGAAATTATTTATTGGAAATAAAACGACAATATATACATGAACAGGAGGAAAGCTACAAACTACCCGGGGTGATAATCGAGCAATATGAATGAAATTTGAAATGAATTGCATGCCTGAAGTGTTGGATTTTATACAAGAGAAAAATGAACAAGGTTTTTCGGATAAAGCTCATAGGGACCGCCCGTTCGATCAGACATGAATATTGTAACATGATTGAAAATGAGGAAAGATGATGGTAAGAGAAGATGGAGAAAAAGAAAAAATCGCTCGATCATTTTCGAATTAGCCTTGAATACCAACAACTCGCACCGGATGGGATCACCTAAAAATAATGCATGTTGGAATATAACATCATTGAAATTGGCAAATAACTCAATTTCGATTTTAAAAAATTACTAATGGTGCTATGCAAATTTTTTAAATAATAGATCAAATCGAAAATGATTATGTAAGACCATGACGCCGAAATTTTAAGCAATGCTACCCCGAAATTCGTCCGTCTTTTTTGAGTTGTAGTTTTTGATGCATTTCAAAGTAGATCAAAAATAATTATTAAATGTACTCTGGTAACTCAAAACCAATCGAATCCGACAAAATTCGGCACATGAATCAACCTTATCCGATTGGAAATTTTACGGATAAGATTGGTTATTTGTCGATTCCGATTCGAACTGAAATATTAAAACAAAACGGATTCGAATAATTACCAATCGGATTCGAAGAAAATCTAATCTGATCCGACAAATATCCAATCGGATTCGAAAATACCCAAAAACCCAATCGGATCCGACAATTTTCCAATCTTATCCGTAGAATTTCCAATCGGATAAGGTGGATTCCGGAGCTGAATTTTGTCGGACCCGATTGGTTTTGAGTTACCAAAGTAGTCGTCGCCCGCCGACAAATGTATGGGGTGTCGATTTACGGGCGCGCGTTTCGGCATGGTCTCGCCACGTGTGAATTGCTATTTTCACAAGAACTCTTTATTTTTTCTTGATCAATTTGTAAATTCGTTGCACAATTTAAAAAGAGTAATTAAAACCCATGGACCATGGGTTTAATTATTTGAAAATTTCAAGCTGCGGACATGAAAACGCCGTACAGCAGTTAGATGTTAGTATTGATTTTTGGCAATGCACATGAATAAACGAAATTGGAGTGCCGTTTGCCTACTGATTTCAATTTCCGTCTTGGGTCTCGAATGGATTTGTTCTTTTGAGAAATTTTTGAATTTGCATAGTTTGAAAAGGGGTTTAAGCAGATTGCGAAAAAAAATAAAAAAAATCAACGATTAATCAGGTTTTTGATTAGAAAATTTAGATTTTTCAAATTGCTAATTAAAAGTACTAATTAAAATAAAAGATAATTGGCTTACTTGGACAATGGCGTTGGCGATGCTGAGCCAAGAGGCGACCGCCATCACATGCAATAGATCGTCTCGTAATGGTTGATAGCACGTTTTCGTATAATATGGCGCATCTCCATCATTATTGAATGGGTTTGATTGACATCGCTCAAGTTCGGTTTCGATGCAACTGGAATAATCATACAATTCGTCAGTCAAAATGAGGAATCGCGCAATTCTCGGTGTAATTCATTCTCATTGAAGAAAAAATGGCAATTGTATTGAATTTTGAATTTTATTCTTTTTTTTTTGTTTTAATATAGTCGGCGACTGGGGCGACTGCTGTACGCGGGTAGATTTACGGGCATGCGTCTTTCGAAATGGTCTCGCAAGGACTAACAGGTTATTTCAAATTTTATGGATCGGTTCGATAATTTTTTAATCAAATGACGTTGGAAATTCAAGGAAATGCAAAATTCATCAAGAAAGAATAAATGGTTCACGTGGAAACAGAAAAATAAGCATTCACGCGTGGCGAGACCATTTCAAGGCGCATGCGCGTAAATCTACCCGCGTATAGCAGTCGCCCCGGACGCCGACAATATAAAAAGAAATAATAAAATTTAAATTTAGATTTTTTTCAAAATGACAAAAAAATGACTTTTTTGAGAATATTTAAAGAAAAAAGAAAATTTCTTTTTCAAAAATCGCTTACCAAGATTCAGGAAGAAGAACTTTTGGCGCTTTCTGGTGCATATACCATTTGGATGTTCTCCAAATAACCGCATTATCCGTTCCATTCACACCACAACATTTGAACTGAAACGAAAACCAACTGAAATTGCCTGGAATTGAAGCGCTCACATTCTTTTGCAAATGGTCCCAAGCTTCGGTTATCGCGTCCATATCATGGGTTCCATAGAGTTCGCGAAGCGACGTCAACATTTTCAAGTTTAGCGGTGTATAATTGACAAGCTGAATTCAAAGGCGCATGTTTGAAGGAAGGGAATGGTTTGATCTACCTGCTCGCGAAAATTGAGGCCGATGATTCCGCCGAGAATCAGCATAACGGCGATGACAATCGAGGCGACAGCACACTGAAAACACATCGCCGCATTCGATTTTCGATTCGACGGTCGCCGATTTGACCTACCGAGGTGACGACACAACGCATTTCTTTGAAAATCGCGTAGGTGCATATAAGGTAGCACGCGATTGAGATCAGCGAAACCACGACGAGAATCCGTCCGACGTCGACATAGAGAGATGGAGAGACGAGCTCGGCGTATTGCGAACGACGCGCAATCAGCCAGCTTCCGTAACACACGCAAGCGATCGAGAAGAGCTGAAAACAACAATATACGCATTTCGAGCTGCCGACATTCTTCGAGGCCCACAGTTTGATTCTCAAAAGTGCAATTAGTTAAGCGTGAAAAAAAAACTGGAATTATGTTTGAATAAGAGTTGAATCAACAAAAAGAGAAAAAAATGAAGAAGCAAGGTGTTCAACTCACGATCGAAATGAGCGTTGTGATGATGTAAATGTAGAAGATTGTGCGGCCACCAGCACCATACGCTGTGCCACGGAATGTGCCCATTTCTCCTCTGCAAAATGCTCAAAATACGAATTTGCGATCTAATTGCTTTATTATGCAATACCATCTCGTAAAATGGGAAATCATGTGCGGACATTTTGCCATGAATTGTCCGCAGATTGAAAAGAACAAGGTAGATAGCAGATGCGATAAAAAAGTGGGGGGAAGTTTTGAGTTCGGGTTGTGTGCAAAACAAGCTGCGGACAATTCGCCGGAAATGGTTCAAATGCAATTTACAAGGACCCAAAATGGGTGGGTTTGGCTGAATGGAATTTGGAATGCAATCCAATCAGTCTTGTTTCGGCGACCTAACAAAAAGAGTAGAGAAAAAAAACGGAAAGGATCTTAATTGCTAATTTTATTATTCATATTATGTTTTTGAGCGGTCGAGTGGAGGACCGAAGAAGCGAACGAAAACGAGGGGCGACAAATTGGCGAAGAGGGCGAAAAGAAAAAGAAGCGACAAAAAACCGGTAGTTTTCAACGAAAAGGAGGCGAAATTGAAAGAAGACGTTTTCTTCTGCGCGAGGCGGCCGTCAGACAGCTGCTGCCTGACTGCCTTGCCTTGCCAAAGTACCAAAACGAAAGACGTGTGATGCGCGCGCCGCCCGCGAGCGACCCGGCCCAGCCCCTCGTCTCTCATCTCAACCGGCCCAGCCCAGCCTCCCCTGTACCGCCGCACTATTTTAGTTTTGAACTCGCGCCGAGCATTTTATTCCCCATTGATAAATTTTTTTCAAATATTTGATCAAATCAAAACGTCGCGCGACGAGTGCCAGTTTGGATTTTAGCAACTGGACGGTTTTCGGCTTGCAAAAATTCAAGAACGCCGATTTGTTCTCTAGGTCGAATTTTTGAAGCGACGTCATCTGAATGCGTGGAATGCCTACCGAAAATGGGTTGTTTTAAAAAAAAATCAGCGAATTTTATTCTGGACGACCAACAATCATTGAAAACCATCTGCGGACAATTCACGGGGAAAATCTGCAAAAATGAATCAAGCAATACAACAACGCTGTCTAATGAAGACGTTTCGAATTCGCCCGGTCTTCTAATTATCGAAAACCATCTGCGGACAATTCACGAGTTCGCTGCTAAATGATTCGTTCGAGATCTACTTGATTTATGAGAGCACGGGGGGATCTTGAGAATTTTCATCTTTGAACATTGTTTGCCAACATTTTGAAAACGAGATGACAAAAAATGGATATGAGCCGCGCAAAAATAACGAATCAAAAGTTGGCAGGATGTCCGCAGCTAAAAATAAATATTGCAAGGTCACTACGAGTTCGCTTCACGCGGTGTCAAGAGGTTCTTCGAGGTTTTGCCGCCGCTTGTAACCTTTTTGAACTTTTGATTCGTTTTTGCGAACGCAGCAAATTTGGACCATCGCCAATTGCTCAATTTGCCAATAATTAATTAGTTTGCCAATTATTTCTGGCAAAAATTCGCGTGCGACCCAATTGCTAACAATTCGTGCAAGTTTTCATACCTACAAAAAATTGCTGAAGGAATTGTGAATTTATTTTCGATTCGAAGACGCGCAGCACACAAACCAACCGGTTTCTATGTATTTGAATGAATTATTTGCAAACACACGGGAGGACCATTATCAATTTATTTCGATTTCGCACCTACACATGTGTTTATTTGTTTAGTTCGAAAAAAAACCCCCAACGCATATTTTTGTTGTGTGAAACGGAATGGTCAGCCAACAGGTACGAGGCGATTCTTCTCAATATTGCCGTGCGTCACCTTCTGCTCATAGAAGCGATGCCCATTAACGGTTCTTTTGAATTCAAACGATCGATCCCTAAAATGTGACGATTAGTTATTATGCAAAACGATCTGCGGACATTTTCAACTCTCTGGTCTCTCCCCGAACTTCCTTGAGTTTATATAGTAACAGGCAAAAAACGTGATTTTTCTTGGTCAATTTTTTGTTGCAAAAAAAAAATGAAATTGTCCGCAGATAATTTGAATAACTTCGAACCTTCTTGTGAGCACTTTTTCAGCCGGACAAATATCGACATGCTTCTCAATGAAATCCATTTTTTGTGTCGATTCGCCATAAAATTCTCCACTAGTATCCCATTGTTCTTTCAATTTCACTCGTCCCGCCTTCTCAACTGAAATAACCAATTTGCATTCGGTTCTCGTGGCGATGTGCAAATTTCAATCAAAAATGAATGTGGGCGTCGATGGTTCGTTCGGCCCACTCGATTCGTCACTTTTTTTTCGGTTCACTGTTATTTCGACAAATATTTCAAGTGCAAACAAAATGAATTGAATAGATAACAATGCGAAAATATTTGGACCCACGCGAGTGAAAGAATGCGCTAATCATCGCAAAAACAAAACGCATTGGAATTTAGAACAAAATTTTGAGTTTTCGATACAAAATTACTGAATAGGGATCACTGTTTATCTCACTATTTTTCTTGTCTATTTCAGCAGGGTTGCAAAACAAAAAAAGTAGGTTGCCTCGGGTGATCCAGGGCTGCGCAGAAATGAGATTTCCGATTGCCGAAATTTTCATTTTTCGGCAATTTTTTTTGTTATCGATAAATCCAAGAGACCTTCAATTTGATAAATAATTCTCAAATTTCTGCTGAATTAAAAATATTACAGAAAATAAAAACAGTTGGAAATTTTTGTGAAATAGAGACGCATGCGTCTTTCGAAATGGTCTCGCAAGGATTAACAGGTTATTTCAAAATTTTTTTTACGGACCGGTTCGATCATTTTTTAATCGAATGACGTTGGAAAGTCAAGGAAATGCGAAACTAATCAAGAAAAATGAACCAAATCTACCAGCGTACAGCAGTCGCCGGACTCCCACTATATATCGAATTAAAATTGAAAAAAATTGGAAATTTTTATTCGGAAAATTGCCGCACAGTCCTCGGGGTGGTCCCATGGGGCGCTTGTTTAAATTACCGCCACCGCTAATAACAACAAACAGCATGCCGCAAAATGTCCGCAGATGTTTGCAATGAAATTTTTTTGAAATGAAAACTATCCCTATTCATTTAATAATTTGAAATTTAGCCAAATCTCGCCGACACCGACCAGATTTTCTTGCTGAGATATGTTTCGCAAATCTTGACAAATATGAAACAACGAAAAAAGGCAGAAAGATTTTTTTAAATTAAAAATGGCGTGATGTTCTTTTAAAAGAGAACTTTAAAAAATATATATCGATTGAAAAAAGTTTTAATCGAAGCTTGATATTTTGAAAAAAAAAACCGGATTCAAACAATAAAAAATAGTAATCTTAAGTAATTTTTGCACTACATTAAAAATTGACATTTTTAAAATTAAAAAAATGGCCCACTTGTCATATCCGCATTTGAAGGTTCGAACTCAAAGAAATTGCAATTTTTTTTCGTATTAGACTTATTTTGTGAATTGAAAAAAAATGTATTTTCATTGTTTATTGTTGCTTGAATACGAAAAAATCTCTGAAGCAGCAATTAGATCAATTTTTCCAAAATTTGAAGTTCAACATTATTTTCGAAACGAATTTCAATTTACAATTTTGAAAAAAAAACACTGCTGAAACTTATTTCTCAACATAGCCTATCTAAATTGTTTTTAATGTTATTTTTAAAGGCACATTTGGAAAAAAACGTCGAAAAAAAAAACCGATTCAAAAATTCACCATGTTTCGGCTGGAATCCGTCTTGGTATGTGGTATTGGCGTCAAATTTGAAGTCGGCGTTTCCAAGTGATGACTCATCTCGTGCCGGTTTCACGTTTACCACCCTGCCATCACACAATTAAAATTGTTCGGGCAAGAGAGGAATCAATTTTCGAAATTCTCACTTTATCACTGGTTTCGGTGTGTAATCGCTGCGGTTCGTCGAGGTCGCCTCGAATTTCGATGACGGCAAAAGTGTGGAGGATCTCGGACGAAACGCCGCCTGCTTCTCAGCCTTCAATTTTTCCGAAATAATTGTTTTTTTTTCTCGATTTATTAAAGAAAAACCTGTTTCCTATCAAAATCAACTCGATTCGTCGATTCTCCCATAAATGGTCCCGACGGGATTTGAGTATTCGACGGAATCCGGCGAATCGCGCTTCGAGACACCTAACAATTTTTTGTACTTTAATTTTTTAAACAAAACTGTACTTGTTTTTTGTCAAAATCCGTTCGATTTGTTGTCGAATCAATAAAAGGTCCAGAAAAAATTTCCGCATCGCTTGGGCCACGAATAATTCCACTTCGTTCTTCCTAAAAATAAATCGAGCTCAGATTTTTATCAAAAAAAAAATTATTTCTTGCATTTTTCTTCAAATCAAAATCGGATTTATGCGTTGTAACTCCCTGAAATTCGCCAGACTGAATCGCTGTAGTCGTCGGCTTCTTGGCAGTTGATCGCGAACCCTGAAAGTCGGTTTCTCGAATTTCAGAATGCTCTCTACATCTTTTTTTTTAGATCGAACCCTTCTCCCATCGAAATCAGCACGATTCGTCGTTTCGGCATTGAATTCGCCAACATTTCTCAAATTATCATTCGTCAATCGATTAATAATTCCATCGCGTTGAATCTGAACAAAAAATTTCAGAATATGTTTTAGCGAAATTTCAAAAATTACAGATTTCGGCTGAAAATCGCTCTTTTGTGTGGTAGCTCCTTCAAATTCTCCGCCAGCATTCAAATTATTATCCACAAATTTGAATGGACCATTTCGAGCAACCTTAAAATGAAGCAAATTTAAACTATTATTTTTTTGCCAGTAGAAAATTGGTTGTAAATTTAAGACTACCTGTTTTCTGTCGAAATCCACCCTATTTGTTGTTGAATCAATAAATGGTCCCGAAAAAATTTGGGCGTCGGTTGGCCCACGAATAATCGCGCTTCTTTCTGCCTGAATTTTATTTTTCATTCATACAATTGTTCGATTTCACACATTTTTCAAATCAAAATCCGATTTGTGCGTTGTAACCGCTTGAAATTCGCCAGACTGAATTGCAGTAGTCGTCGTTGGTTTTTTTGCTCTTGGCCTTGAGCCCTGGAAATTTTGGGCATCATTAATTATTCGATTACACAAATAAAATGCGGCGAACTCTGATTTCGCGTGAATATTGTCATATGATATTGTCGGTGTTAAACGACTGAACGAAATTAAAAAAAAAATGATTGGCTTGGTGCCAATGCGTCTCGAGGTAGGACTGCGTACATTGCATTATACCGTACGCGCATTTAATATTCAGTCAACGATAAATTTAAATCTAAAATGATTTCGCTAATTTGAAGGCCTCGCTTCCCTTCAACGTTTTCGACAATAATAAATTTCATTAGTGATATAATATTGCCTATTAGATGGAAGCATATACGATTCCTGCCGACATATCATGTGCCCGTCGCATTTTAATTGAAGGGAGGCGGGGTCTTCAAATTGGCGAAATCAGTGTACCACAATTAATGATGAAATATTAGGGGCTTCAACAGAAGACACCATTGGCTTTTGCTCTCCCTAAAAAGCCGACAGAATCACTACTCGAGATTTCTCTTCATTTTTATTTTTTTTTGGTGACACCAATGCCCATTATCTCCACTATACTTAGCATCTCAATTCTTGGTTTACTCCCAAACCGTTTTTAATGTATTCTGAGATAGAAATGGAACTTTTTGGTCGGGACCCCCCAAAACAATACCCTTCTCCCATCGAAATCAGCGCGATTCGTCGTTTCGGCATTGAATTCTCCAACATTTCTCAAATTATCATTCGTCAATCGATTAATTATTCCATCGCGTTGAATCTGAACAAAATTTTTAGTATATCTATTTTTGTTGCGGAATTTCAAAAATTACAGATTTCGGCTGAAAATCGCTCTTCTGTGTCGTCACACCGTTGAATTCTCCACCGCCATCCAAATTGCTGTCAACGAATTTGAATGGTCCGTGTCGTGAAACCTGAAAGCGGGTGTCTTCTCTCAGCGGTTTGCATTTCGTATTAATCAGAGTTCTCGTTTTCTTTTTTGCGATGACAATATAATATCGACCCCAATAAAAGCATCTATCGTATTTATTCAGCCCGTCTGAACTATAAGGTCTTGCAGCGAAAAATTCTGGTACCCGTTTTTTTTTTCAGGATAACGCGCAACGAATCACATTCCAAATTCGGAGTGCTCAAATTTTCAGTTTTGAAAAAATTTTATCAAATTGTTGACAGAAATTAGCAACGATATTTCAATGAGAATTTCGACTTTGATCAAAATTAAAAATCGCCCAGACAAAATGTTTTTTTTTTAGTTGCCTAGAAACCTGAATAGCTGAGCATTTATCGAACAAAAGAGCCGACCTTTTTCGCGACAAAATCGTCTCGATTCGTTGTCGATGCATTAAAATTCTCATTCGATGCTAAATTCGAGGCAGAAGTAGCACGAAAAGAGCGTTCTCTGGAAAAAAAAAGACCGAGTGAGTGAAAATGAAAAGAGGAATGCGTACCTCGGGACCTGTTTCGCCGGAAACTGATTCGCGTATTCCGTTTTGGATTCCTCAATTCCGCCGCCAAATCCCAAATCCGCGTCGACATGTGAGCATTTATGACGCCTTCAATCATTTATGGTTGTTTGGCAATTATGGGCCAATTAGACGAACCCGCATTGGCAGATTTGACAAATGCATTTCTCGACAGGCTTTTCCTGACTCATTCTATCATCAAATAATACTAAAAATGGGAAAGACTCGGTTTTTTTATTTGGAAGATGGGAAGGGGGCACCTGGTTGCAACACACGCAATAAATGCCTGGAAACGGATCCAGAATAGCGGGCAGCGTCCTACACTTTTTCGCTTTTTTTTTTGGTCCTTGCTGCTTCTCTTTTCATTCTTTTATGCACATAATTCATCGCGCAACGCTGAGCACGTTTCCGAACTTTTTTCTTCCCATTTATAGCGTGTGTTTTCAGGAGGCGACTATATATGGAATTATAATGTGGCGATCATCGCTTAGAATCGTATAGAAATGTTCCGATTTTTGCCGGAAACTTTGTACTAGTCTTCGACGAAAAAAAGAATGCATGGAATTGAGACGATGATTGAGGCGGAACCATGGAAAAATATTATGGGATTCATCTGGAACAATTCCTGAAAAAAATTTGAAAATAAATGTTTGAAAATATTCATTTGATATTTTTCTGGACACAAAATGACGCGGACGCTTAATTAAATAGACGATTTTTCTTGAAAACACGAAAGGTTGAACTCGAAAGAGGCTTTTAGCTATAAACATACTTATTTAAGTGTAAAAATACAGGGTGTCATTTAAGTTCCCGCACAACTTTGAAGACGTATATTTCTGAAACTAAAAGTCCAAATCAAACGAGACTCAAAATATTTTTTATCTATAGTATAACAAATATTTATCTATTAACTCTTTTTGATTCGGCCTCCTTTCGCAGTTATGACTTCACGGAAACGCTTCGGGTAGGATGCGACTGTGGTACGCAGGTATTCGATGGAAAGATTGTCCCATTCCGCCAGTAATGTCTTCTTCAGAGCCTCTATACTTGAGTGGGGTTTTGCGTTGACCTTCTCCTGCAAGACCCCATCACGGGAAAGTCAAGCGGGTTCAGGTCTGGGGAGCAATCAGGCCATTCGTATGACTTGATGAAGTCGGGAAAATGGGTCTGGCACCACTCCTGAGTAGTTTTGGCAGTGTGGGCGGCTGCTCCGTCGTGTTGAAAGACCCATTTCTGCCCACCGAAATGCGTTTGGGTCCAGGGCATCACATGCTTCTCCAAAATGTCCCGAACGTAGACTTCTTTGTTCACTTTCACCCCCTGATCCGCGAAAACCAGGGGGCACTTCCCGGTTGAGCAGATGGCAACGAAAACCATCATGCTGGCAGGATGTGAGGCTGGATGATATGTTCTTCTTTTCTCAGAAGCTTGCTGGGATGTCTGGGCAAGTACTCAATGGTTTTGTGAGTTGAATGCCGTCTCCACAGTGAACAGCTTCTCGTCGGAGAAGACAGTGACGAGGTGTTGTCCAGACCGCGTGCGAGCAAGAAGTCGTTTTGCTTTTTCGAAGCGTCTCAGCTTGCTGACGGCCGATAGAATTGCCGCTTTTTGGACACGATATGGGGTCAGTCCAAGCTTCGTTTTGACAATTTGTTCCATAGCGAAGATGCTCATTCCCATGTCTAACGCCATCTTTCTCATGCTCCTGTGGGGGTTTCGCCTGATCCTCGATTTGACGGCGTTGATCTTCTGAGGAGTGGTTACTGAGACGAGTCTTCCTTGTCTGGGACGGTGACTGGTCGTATTTAGCTCCTTGAAACGTTTGATGGTGTCGCAAACCGTTCTACGAGGCACACCGACCCGTTGAATGATGTCTCTCGAGCTCACATTTTGCTTATGAAATTCGATAATGGAAGCGCGATGGATGTTAGCCTTCGCCGTTTCTCGGAAGCACATCCGAATGAGGTGAAACTTGGAAAGTAAGTAAAATATACCTTATTTAACAAAAATAAATTGTATTGGTGCACGAAAAGTGCGACAGCCAAGCTCTTCATGGCGTCAAACTTTTGTGCGGGAACTTAAATGACACCCTGTACAAAAAATTAGGTTTGCTAAGCATAACAAATTTAAAAATTATTTTAACCTTGAAAATGCGTAATTTTTCTTTTTTTTATTCAAAATTCATCATTCCAAAGATCCAAAGAAAACATTTGAATGTCAGAAAGCGAAAAATGAGGAATATTATGCTTTAAGAAAAGCATCAAACTCTACACCATATGGATTGTCAATTGACAATTGTTAATTGCAACGACAGTTTGGATTTTAGAATATTTAAATTAAAATTAGGCTTGAAATAAAAAGTACAGTACGCGTTTCTGTGTATTTCTGCGTCATATGCAATGCAATTCGTCGCTTAAATTTCAAAATTTTTTTCCTTCAACAAGTCGATTTTTTGCTTATTCTTTTTTGTTTTCTTCGTTCAAATTGTTATTTTCGACATTATAATTGGGAACATAGTAGAGGCATTCATTCATATCGCTAACAAGCCGCTGTTCGTTTCGCCGTCAAAACTAATTTCCGGCTTAAAATATTAGCAACCCTCGGTTTTTCGTTGGAATTGATGTCAAAAAAATCTTTCAAGATCTCGTAATGATGGTCTCTTTCATGTTTATGAGTCTGTCAAAGTTCAACAAAGCAACATGTTGATGAGTAATGAGATAATATTGCCGTGATCCGTTTTCCGTGCCTCAAAAAAAAACGATGAATCGAACACCACATGTTCATTCTTTCTCGTTTACCTATCCATTTGCCCTTCGGTTTTATTTATTTGCTTCTTTTCCGACGTTGAAGTTTGTACTGAGTTTTCAAAATCTTGAATTTTGAATTAAAGCAATGTACGAAGATATTAATTTTGACGCTGAAAACCAGATTTTCAAAAATTGATTTCTTTTTCAAAAATTTTGTTTGCCGTCCGCGAAATAATCGTCATACCAATTGCAATTTTTTTTTCGTAAAATCGATTTTTTCAGATAAAAATTCGCACATAAACAATTTCGATAGTACGAATCAAGTGCGTCTCGCCGTGAACTTTATTTGATCATGTTGTTCAGCTGAATGAATCCTCCAAACAAATTTCATTAGGATTTTTTCTCTTCTTATGGCTTTCTAACAGCATGAATCAGCATTTTTCTATAGAAATATGCGTTAGGATTCCTCAAAAATCAAGTATAAATTGATATTTTTCAAAAATATGTTTGGTATTGAATAGGTTTTCTTTTTAATATATAATTTTTCAATGAATTTCCGAAAAGAAATGAAATGAAAATTTTCAGCTTTTATTCAAAATTCTGAAATTTTGCGACTTAGCTGTTGCTCATATGTCTTCAAAATTGAATAATCTAATGTATGTCCCAAAATTGTCTCATTTAGAAATGGGACAATGTTATAAATTTGGGATTGTGTACGTGTGTTTGTCAGAGTTGTAAACAACCACTCGGCCGTCTCTGCCGCCTGCGTCTCGCCACGCCTCGTTCGGCGCCCGCGACTAGACGCGTTTGAATATTTTTTTTAAATGTTGGAAAGTAGCCAATGATATGTTTTCTCCCGTTGTTCTTCGTATTCGATGCGAATATTATGAGCAAAAAATGAGTTGCAATTCAAAAAAGTTACCAAAGTTCTTGGGGTTTGGCATTTTTTTTTTCAAATTTTAGGCCAAAGATACGGTAATTTATCGCTATTTCTATTTTCAAACAATGACTCAATTAGATGATAAGCTGAACAAATTACTTTAAAAGAAGCCTCTTAGTTAGGTGTGATTTATGTTGTTTTGCACAGAGCCGAGCAGAGAGAGAGAGAGAGTGAATAACACGCTTTACTATACTTGTTTACCAGTCGCTTTTCTATTTTGCCAAAATCCCCGAATTTTCGCCGCCGTTATTATAGAACTCCCCCCCCGCTTTTTTGTTCTTCAAATTTCGTTTGGAACACTGGCCTTGAATCCAATTTTGTTGTCATTTTTTTGTGGCGAAGGCAACAATTTGATAAAACACCCTCCAATTGTCTTTTATTGTTATCAGTGGTGCATCTTTTCGTATTTCGTTGATTCTGACCAACGAACCAAATCAAACATTTTCCCTTTAGCGACGACGCGATGGGAAAATGATTCCATGAGAAGCTCCCAACATTGAAAACGTGGTTTTTCGTTTTTTTTTTGGTTTGCGGTGAAGGTCACCATTTCGTTATCTTGAATTGAGAATCTTGTGAATTTCACTTTTTTGGACTTTTATTTGAGAAAAAAAGCAAATTATTCGGAAATATTCGAATATTTTCACCTTTTTGAAGCTTTTTTCTTTTGCCAAATCAGGTGTCTTTCCTATTTGAAATATATATGCGTTGTTGTTGATTCGATTTATATCGACCCCGCCAACATTTTATTGCCCCTCGCTATTTTTTGTTTCTTTTCATTTCCATTTTTTTAAACTGTCGTTTGAGTCATATGTGGACACAAACAAACAAACAAACCGTAAAAAAGCCGAATGTATTGACTTCCTTATTTCGTTTCAGAACGAGCATGGTATTTGAATCGTTGGTTGCCGACCTTCTGAATCGATTCCTCGGTGATTTCGTCGACAATCTCGACTCGTCACAATTGAACATCGGAATTTGGGGAGGTTGCAAATTATTTTGCTCAAATTGCAATTAAAAAAATACATTTGATTTAGGTGATGTGAAACTTGAGAATTTGCAAGTCAAAGAAACGGCGCTGGACGACTTTGACCTGCCAGTCAAACTCAAATATGGGTATTTGTCGTCGCTGGTGCTCAAGATCCCGTGGAAGAACCTTTACAATGAGCCGGTGATTGCCACCATCGACGGCCTCAATCTCATCGTGGTGCCGAATAAGGGTGTCGTCTACAACGAGGAGAAGGCGATGAAGAATCTGCTTGAGGTCAAGAAGAAGACGTTGGCGAGACTTGAAGAAGCGAGAAAGGAGCGTCGAAAGCCGAAAGATCCGCAAGCGGATACGTTTGCTGAGAAGATGGTCACGCAGATCATCAAGAATCTTCAGGTAATCAGCAATTCATGAGCTTGAAGAAGAATCAAAATTCTGAACTGTTTCAGGTCACCATCTCTAACATTCATGTTCGTTTTGAAGACAAATACACCAACCGACATCGTCCATTCGCCATGGGAATCACCCTACAGAAGTTGGATTTCAAGGTGCCGATTGGTTTTGAAGATTTCTTTATCATCCAGACAATTTTTAGACCACTGATGAGAACTGGAAGGAGACGATTCATAAGGACGTTGTCAAGATCATTTATAAGCTTGTCTCTCTTCAGAATCTTGCTGTTTATTGGAATTCGGATACGGAATTTATTTCGGATCTCAATGATAAGGAGAAGATACGGAAACGATTGCAGGAAGCGATCCATAATGGCAAGAACGCGCCACAAGGATTCAAATATAGTATGAAATTTTAAATGGGACTTAGAAAAGTAGTTAATTCGATTGTTTTAGTTCTGGAACCGATTCAAATGGAAGCGAAACTCAAGCTGAATCAAAAGCCGGAGACCGATGGGAGCAATTGGAGCATTCCGAAAATCGACTTGGCTGTTGATATGCACGCGTTGGCCTTGTCCATCGGCAAATTCCAATATCAAGATGTTCTTTTGTTCTTGGAAGCTCAGGAACGATTCAATGCTGCGACCCAGTACTTGAAGTATCGTCCACAGCTTAACGAATATCATGGGCATTACAAAGAATGGTTAGTTCGCCTCGCCCCCAATCTTTAATTATGCCATCAATTTGAGGTGGAGATTTGCCTACACATCGATTCTTGAGGAGAAGGTTCGTCGTAGAAGAAACAATTGGTCATGGGAGAGAATGCGGAAGCATCGGCGTCTTGTTCGCGATTACCAAGCGGCTTGGGTCAAACATCAAACGGAGAGCAGCCCTGGCGCAGAAGCTGAGAAGATAATCAAAGAAGCCGAGAAGACGTTGGACGTGTTCAATGTGAATGTCGCCCGACAACAGGCGGAGCTTGAGATTGATCGCAAGGGGCTCACGCGTCTCGAGGACAAACCGCAAGGATGGGTTGCTTGGGGCAAGAGTTGGTTCGGCGGAGGCGGTGGATCGCAAGGAGGAGAGCATAAGCCCGACGGAAAGGATATTGGATCACAATTCCAGGCGGCGATGACTCCGGAAGAGAAAGCCAAATTGTTCGAGGCCATTGATTATCAGGTAACCGAAAAGAAACTGTTATAGGACTAGATTGAATGTGGAATTCAGGAGAACATCCCACCGACCAATTATCCCAAGGAGTACGTCGAGAACAAGTTCTCGTTCAAATTGGGACAAGTTGCCATCGCTGTCGATGGAGCTGTTGGAATGCAGCTCAAAAATATCAAGGCTGATGTCGAGCAGCGACCAAGCGCTGGGGCCACTCAGTATCGCTTTATTAGTGCCATTGTATCCTATTTGTTTGATTTTCAGCGTCGAATCTTCTATTGAAGACTTGCGCATGGATGGTGAAGGTGTTGATTTGATTCGTGTTCGCGATCCATCGATGCCGTGGATGTCGTTCCTTCTTGATACCAATCCATTGCAAGGAGGTTACGATCAGCTTGTGAAGTTGGCGATTGCTCCGATTAACATTAAATATCAGGCGTTGCCTATCAATAAAGCTATTGATGTGTTCAAGCCGCCAGAGTCGGTTAGACTCAATCAGCTCACCGCATTGGCGATGTCGAGATACGAAGAAGTAACTTCCAATTCGGAGTATTCTTAACAATATCAGATTTATTCTAGGTGAAAGCGCGATCAGCTACTGGCCTTGCACACGCTGTTGAGAATCGCTCGAAGCTTGTGCTTGATGTTCAAATCCATCCAGCTCGTGTCTACATTTCCGAAGGAGGTGTCTATGATGTGCAGAAGCCGACACTTCTTGCTGATCTTGGACTCCTTTCTGTCGTTACCGTCGACAATAGCAATGCTGACACATCTGGAATGGACAAAATGACGCAGATCATGGAGAAGGCTTATGATCGATTCCACGTCAAGTTGAGCAATGTTGTGATTGCTTACGCGGAGAATGTGGAGAAGGTTGAAGGATGTGTGCATCAACCGGAGTCTCCGCTTCATGTGTTGAAGCCTACGGGATTAGATATTCAAATTCATAAGAGTTCTATTGATGATCTACGATTGGCAAAGTAATATTCAGACGAGTTGTTTGATGTGTTGATAACTAAATTTCAGAATGCGTGTGATTGGAGACCTTCCGGATATTGTTATTGGAATCTCGGATGAACGTCTCATCGGTCTCATGAAGCTCTTGTTGTCGATTCCTACCCCGGCACCAGATGAGAAGACAGCGGCTGAGAAACAGCTTGAGGAAGTTCCAGTGGCAAAGGTCAAGGATCGCGCGAAGATGAGAACTATTATGGAGGCTGAAGAGATGGAAGAGGATACGACGCAAAAGGAGGAAGAGAAGAATAAGTCGCATGAGCAGCAAGTGCAGATTGAGCTCGATCTTAAACTCAACCAGATCGGAGTTGTTGTTTATCGCGATGACAAGGTGTTTTGTGATGTGTCTATTCTTCAAATGGCGTGCAAATTGCAAATGCGCACATTTGATATGGTCGTGACCGCCGAACTCGGATCTATTAGGGTGTCACTTCCTGAATTCAAATCTCTTGATCCTCGAAGAAACCATCTGTATTTGATTGACAACGATGAAGAAGACGGAGCGTTGATGTCGCTGAAGTTCGTTCAGGCGAATCCAGAATCACCGTTTTTCGCCACCGAATATGATTTGACTGAACAGGCCATTGACTTTAACTTTACTAATTTGAATGTTTCCTTGCATCAGGTAATTCATTTCGCAAATTAACCCAATAATTGGCAATTTTCCATTTTAGGAAGGAGTTCTCCAATTGAAAAAGTTTGGAGAAGACTTACAATCTCAACTAAACGAGCTGCAGAAAGATAAGAAGCCGGAAGAGAAAATCGAGGATGTTGCCGTTCAGATGACCAAGAAGCTTAGCGACAGTGTGCTTTCGATTGCATCACTCTCGAAAGAGAAGAGAGTCCGAAAGAAGACGACCGCTGGAACTGAAACAGCTGCGGACACGGATCGTCACATCAAGCAACGAATCAAAGCCAAATTTGGAAGCTTGGGATTGCTTTTGGGAACCGAGAAGAATCTTATGCTCAAACTCGCCATTGAACATGTAAGTCTTGAGTTTTGCTTTCAAAAATTGATTACCTCGACAAATTCTTAGATCAATGCCAATGTCAAGATGACGGCAAAAGCGATGGAAGTTGTCGCGACACTTCGCGCGATTTCCATGGAAGATTGCACCGAATCTGCACTTTATCGCAAGCTTCTCTCCGTTCATGGAAACGAGGATATGCTTCGATTCGACTTTGTTCAATATCAGCGAACTGAGGATCAACGACAACTCATGGCGCCGAGCGATGTTGATATGGTTGTGAAGATGCGACTTGCTCAGATGAGATTCGTCTTCCTCAACATAGTCATCGTTCGACTAATGGCCTGGATCGCGCCGTTTCAGAATGAAGCTATTAAAGCAGCGCACGCGGCTCAGGCTGCTGCCGCGGAGAAGGCTGCTGAAGCTGCGCAGAATGTGAAGAAGGTGCTCGAAACATCGCCGCCGAGAATCAAGCTCGACGTTCTCCTTGAAGCGCCGTATATCGTGGTTCCGAGACTTTCTACGAGTCGTGACGTCATTGTGCTTCATTTGGGTCGTCTCACTGTGAACAATGAGATTCGCGGCGATTCGCATCATCCGAAGGCTGTTCTTGATCGAATGGATATTAAAATGACTGACATTACTTTTGGAATGTTCGTTTTCCACATTTCAGTTCTCATTTTCATCTCGATAATTTTAGGGGTCGAATGGATCAGAATATCGCTAACGTTTCCTCGACATGCCTCATTCTCAAGCCGCTCACGTTTGCACTTGCTTTACAAAGAAATCTGACATTTGCTAATGTCAAACAGCTCCCAGAAATTGTGGTTGACGCTCATTTGCATTCCATTGAAGTTGAAATGTCGGATGTTGACTATCGAACGCTGATGATGACCTTGTCCGGAAATTTGGCCGAAGGACAGGATATTGAGATCGCCGCTCCACCACCGCCGCCGGAGCAACTAGCCGTCGAAGCAACTACCGCTAACGCAAAGACACCCGAGAAGAAGCCGAAAGATCGTGAAGCTTCTGCGGGAACTCCTCTCATTGAGCAAGCGCATACAAGAATCGTCTTCCAATTCGTGTTGGACAAGATTGAAGCCGTTCTGCACGAAGGAGAAGCTGTTGATGGCGAGAGAGACATGAAGGGCGCGTTTGCTTCGATGCGATTGAATAATGTGAAGATGTCGGGAAAGATTGCGGTGGGTTTGCTTGAGATGCTTGAGATCATACATGTTATAATTTTATCTTTAGGAAGACAATGCTATTGTGTTCGCGATGTCTCTTGACGAGTTCACTATGAATGACGAGCGTAAGGAGAAGACGAAAATCAGCAAACTTATGGATAAGAAGGGAGCTAGAGACGAGCGATTCATCGATTTGAACTTCAATCAGGATAGCGAGGCCAACAAACAAGTCCGTCTCAAGATGACGGCATTTGTCATCTGTCTGTGCCCGGAGTTCCTGGGATGTCTCACAAGATTCTTCAATGTTCCTCAAAGTGAGGAGGAGATTGAGCGCCAAATCGCGGCTGCTCCGACGAGCAAGGCCGCCGTCGCCCAAACGAAGTCTGCTTCAAGCGGTCCTGCTCAACCGGCAGGAACACTTGCGATTGATTGCGATATGCATGGTGTCGAGGTGATCCTCGTCGAGGATTCGATGCATCCGGACACCTCACAGGCGTTGATCTTGTCGTTCAACATCACTGCTGCTTCACATCCGAATGAGGCGACGAAGGATACGAAGATGAATGTTGCGATTGAGAATCTCACCGTGTTCAGCTCTTATTACCTTCAAAGCCGACGTGACGAAGTGACATATAAGGTGTTGAGTCCCGTGACGATCGAAGCCTTGGTTAACATGAACACCGAATCGAAGACAACAGATGCTCTCCTCAAAATGGGAGCAATGGAAATCAAGATGTCGCCATCGATTATTCGACTACTTTCGGCCGTTTCGGCGGAATTCGCCAAGAGCAGTGCCGTTGAGACTGATGCGAAGTCGACGAAGACGCCGACGCTCAAGAAATATCCGAACTATTTCGATGCGAAGCCGCTTGATTACAGAAAGTTTGTTTCGAAATATCGGTTTTATTTGCAAATATCGTTTTTAGGTATTGGTTTTTCTCTGCTCCAGTCGCTGAAGAGGCGGTTGAGCATAACGAAGATGATGATACCCATACTGCGGTAGAAGTCAGCATGATTGGCAAGGAATCGGCGAAGCTCGAATTTGAGAATATCTCATTCACGCTGGAAGCAGGAACTGGAGCAGTAATCATATTTGAAAAAATGTTTCAAATTGTAAAATCTTGGGTGTTCTAGATTCCGGTGCCATTGATTTTCTTGGACATGCACATCAATGCTGAAGCACATGACTGGTCGTCGGCGATGCGTGTCAACTCGGATATCTCACTCCAGATGTCGTATTATAACGAGTCTGTGAGCGTCTGGGAGCCGATCATTGAGCCTGTCGAGAATGAGAAGGGAGAGTTTGAGAGATGGAAACTCGCGATGACGGTATCATTCTGCTATCGGTCTCTCACTGTCTTTTTTTTGTAGATGAAGTCAAGAAACAAGATGGATCCGAATGACACTTCTCCACAAACTGATATCAAGATTGAGGCTGATAAGATGCTTAACGTTACTGTCACCAAATCATTGCTTACCCTTGTGAACAAGCTCACAGAAGTGTTCGCCGCCGCTGCGCAGAAGATTACCCCTACTCAAACTCGCCAACTTCCTGGAATCTCACCATTCGTTGTTCTTAACGAGACCGGCGTTGCTGTCAAGGTGTGCGATTCGGAATCGATGCGTGTCAGCGAGGACGGAGAACCCGTTGACGCTACTCATGGAGCTTTTGTTGATGTTTATTTGAAGAAAGATATGCTTAAGACTATTGAGGTAATTGGAATTTTCAGTGATTCGAATTTTAATTAAATTAATTTTTTACAGTCTCATCGTCTCGCTATCGAACAAGAGGAAGTCACCGGCGATTTGAAGCTGGAACTGCTCGGAACAACTCGAGATGTCAAGATTGGACGCGCTGAGAAGAAGATTGTTCATTTACCGAAGACGAGCAAAGGAGGACAAAAGTGGATTGTAGGGCATGCAGTGGGTTATTCGGATTTATATTCGCGAATTTAGGCTGTTGCTGAAACGACGATTGAGAACAGCCGACGATTGGTTACGTTGACGTCTCATGTCAAAGTCACCAACCATCTCAGCTACGCTGTCGAGCTCTACTCGAAACGCGACACGACGCTCGATTTGTTCGGAGTCGTCGAACCTGGAGAATCTCTTCCATTGGCTGTGCCACTCCTCTTCTCACCGACCGGAGAGATTTTTGTGAAGCCAGTTGATGATCAGTATGATTATTGAATGTAATCCCATTTTTATAATAGTTTGGTGTTTTTAGATACGAAGTTTCGACGGAGTCTCTTTGCTGGCACGCATTTGAGCACAACAAACGTCAAGCGGTGCGATGCGAGATCGACACAACCGATGGAACATACAGAGGAATCTACATTGATAGTGTAGTCCACGAGGAAAAGATTACAGATGGTAAGAATGGTGCTTCAGCAGTCCTTTTTAGTGGAACATTCTTTAGGTTTGGATCTGACTGTCAGCATCTTCCACGTTCACCTTCATCCACCACTCGAGTTCCACAACTTGTTGCCATATGAGATCACCATGGAAGTTCCCGAGGCGAAGACGATGGCAGCGGGAACCTCGTCGTTGCTTAATGTTGTCACCGGAAGCAAGGTTAAACTCGCTGTCGATTACCTTGGAGAGAAGTATGTTCTTGACATGCCGATTCCCGAAATCAAGAAGGATGTCGAAGTGGTCGCGTTGAACACTGAAACTGGATCAGATGAATTGGTAATGAATTATTGAGAAAATAAAATGAGGAGTTTCTATTTTTTTCAGCTTCTTGGATTACATTGGACGAGTGAGTATGGCGATCAGAAGGTCTACCTCTATGCTCCATTCTGGCTTGTGAATAATACTGAAAAGATATTGAAACATGTCGTAAGTCATTTTTTTTTTTTAAATTTTCTTCTTTTCAAGCTTGCGTTTTGTAATGTAATGTGGTCTGCTTATTGTCTTGTCCGTGCTGCTCGTAAATAGCCGATAGAAACGTGTTTGACGAGATTCGGAGACGTTTGTTGTATCGGTTTTCAGCACCTGCTCAGAGGCGAAACGCTTCTCGAGTCGGCCGTCGCGTTGCCGGAGACATGGGAGGGCCTGTTGACTAGCGAGTTCAATGTATATTCAACATTTTCTTTTGCTATTCGTACTTTCTTTATTTTTTCTATGCGTTTTCTATTTCTTTTTATTTTTTTTTGGGGGGCGATTATGAGAAAAACGAGCGAGCGCGCGGGAAGCAACAAATATCTCTGATCTCATTGGCATGTTCTCTGTTGACGATTTACATCAACTTTATCGATAGGTTGTGCCATCGAAAATTTTTTTTAATTAAAATCGATCTGCGGACAATTTTTGAGTATGTCATGATGTTTAACAATTATTCATTTCGAGAAAATCTGTCGTTTCTGAGCACACGCGAAAAAAGGACAAAAGCAAGACTTGTGTCGTCGTGTGAGTAGAAGAATCATCAACGTGCCGTTTATCATTTCATTTGAATAACGTTTTGAAATTGAATAGGAGAGCAGCGGAAATATACTGACGAATACGGCGCGAGGTTGTGTGCCGTGCGGCAGGAAATCGGTCAGCGCTGCCAAAGAGGTCTGCCCAACATTTTCCTTCGGCTTGTTTCCTTTTCCTCCTCCTCCTCCTCTTCTTCATCATCATCATCACACATTTTAATCATACGAAGGTAAACTAATAATAATTGATTTTATACAGAATGAGGACGCGGTTCAACATTTGCCGGACATGAATCCGATCATTTTGCCGTTCCCGGCCACCGATCTTGCCAAGAAGAAGAAGGTCCGCTTCTTTGGTAGTACGGCGGGGAATTGAAATTAATGGGTTTTGTAGGCTAAAGTCAAGATTGACAACGTTTCCGAATGGTCGGATGAGTTCCCGTTGGATACGGTAGGAAATGCGATGAGAATCACGTGTAGAGGAAAGGAATGCGATTACGACGTAATCATCCTGCTCTATTCATTTTTAGCTCTATTCGAACGAGTTTCAGCTTACGGTAGACATCAAATTGTGCCAGTCGGGTCTCACCAAGATTGTCACATTTTCGCCATTCTATCTTGTCTCGAACCTTGGCAAATATCCTATGGAGATCAAAGAAGAAACGTCTAGCGAATGGGTTGAGATTCCGGCGAACACTGTATACTTGTTTGATTTGATTCCTTCGGAAATTTTGTGAATTTTCAGTGCGTTGGCATCTGGCCAGCTTCGAGAAAGAAGAAAAAGCTTGTGAGTGTGAAATACCATGGGGAAGCGAACGAGTCTTTGCTGTTTCCGATCACTGAGAATTACGATACGTTATGTCACGTAAGGATATTGTCGTTTCCGATAGTGCTATTCAATATGATTCTTTAGATGGATAACGACGCTGTTGGTGTCGAAGTCTCGGTGTCGACTGGAGAATCATCGGTGGCAATTCATTTGACGCCGTTCACTCCCGGAGCTTGTCCTGTTCAAATCATGAACACACTGAAGATTCCGGTGACTTTCGGACAGAAGGGACACAAGAAGTTCAAAGTTGAACCGCATGAGGTCGCCCATTTCACTTGGTCGAGCATTGTCGATGAGCGTATTCTTGAAGTTGACGTTGGTTCGTGGCATCATGAGGATCGACTTGATCAGAATAGATTCGGAGACTTGCAACCGGATAAGAATGTCAGAAGGTATCCGAATGCCTAGCAATATTCTATAATTCATTGACTCTCTTAAATTTATCAGATTCTGCTATTTCTCGAACTTCTTGATTGGTCGTCAACGTGTTTTGTTGTTCACCAGCGACATGGACATCGCAAAGAACGCTTATGGTTCATGGGAGACTGACGTTGTCGATATGCAAGCGGAGATCAGTCTTCAAGGATTCGGACTCTCCGTGGTCGACAATATCGTTGGACGTGAGATCATATACATGGCCATCTCCTCGTCGGATATTCTTTGGGAAGAAGAGGTCAAGAAGGGTAGATTCAAGCCATTGGCGGTGAAATATATGCAAGCACTCGAGGAGAAATACCAGAAGTCGTTGACATCGCCGTCCGGAACTGGATTTGAGGTAATTATTTGAGTATAAGCAAGAATTACTCTGAATTGGTTTCAGCCGCTTGAGGGGTACGAAGTCAGCTTAACCAACATGATCCTAAAGAAAAAGAAGGGCAAAGAAGTGAAAATCCGGCGAATCTTCGAACAGGGATTGTGGGCGAGCTACGGAAAAAGCGCGCAGAGAACTCGACTTCACGCCAAGATCAATCATTTGCAAATCGACAATCAGCTCGATGCGTGCGTCTTCCCGCGGGTCTTGTCGGTTGTTCCCCCACCGAAGAGTGTCATTGTTGATAATAGTAAGAACGGGCTTCGTTCTACACAACCAATTGCGTTTCTTTCAGCTCCGAAACCATTCTTGGAATTATCACTTCTTCAACGTCAACCGGAATACTCATCAATTGCTGAGATCGAATACGCTCACGTCTTACTCCAAGAGTTCTCAGTTTGTGTCGACCAGGGTCTCATCAACGCTCTTCTCCTTCTTATTTCTGGCGAAGTTGCCAGAAAACCATATGGAGTAGGACATTATGAACAATTACTTTTGAAATTCTCAAAAATTGCAGAAAGAAATGTTTGACGAGGATCTCAAAATCTGTCATGTGTCTCTATCCGAGACAGCCAAGGCTTACAAATCTCAACGGCCGAAGAGCTTCTACAACGATTTGCACATCTCGCCGATAATGGTAAACGCTTGTGGTCCAAAACGCAACAATCTGAATTTTTTAAAGATGCATTTGTCGTTCTCGCAAGGTGGAACTACTGCAGATCACTCAAATGGTGGTGGCTCGATGCCAATCCAATCAGAATTCATAAATGTGTTCATGAGATCGGTCGGTGTCACGCTCACCGAGCTGCAGGACGTTGTGTTCAAGCTTGCCTACTTTGAGAGAAAATGTACCTTCTATAGTCCAGATCAGCTGAATGCCGAGATTATTAGTCATTATGCGAAGCAATTCATCAAACAGGCAGGATTCAATTGACTGAGAATCTATATTTCTAATTTGTTACTTTCAGCTTTATGTTCTTGTTCTTGGATTGGATATTATTGGAAATCCGTTCGGACTTGTTCGCGATCTTTCGGCTGGAGTCGAAGATTTGTTCTACCAACCATTCCAAGGAGCCATTCAAGGTCCCGAGGTATCATTGGTTCGATTTACGATTCACTCCATCAATTGCATTTCTAGGAATTCGCTGCTGGTGTCGCCCTTGGTGTTCAGTCCATGTTCGGGCATGCCGTCGGCGGAGCTGCTGGAGCCGTCGGTCGAATTACGGGAACGGTTGGCAAAGGCGTTGCCGCTCTCACATTCGACGACGAGTACATGAGAAAGCGACAAGAGGATATGAATCGAAAGCCGCAAACGTTCAGCGAGGGAATGGCCCGGGGATTCAAGGGTCTCGGAATGGGCGTTGTCGGTGGACTCACAGGAGTGGTGACGAAGCCAATCGAAGGCGCGAAACAAGAAGGTGGCATCGGATTCGTGAAGGGAGTCGGAAAGGGTCTGATCGGAGTGGTGACACGGCCAGTTTCTGGTGTCGTCGATTTTGCCAGTGGAACGATGAACTCTGTCAGAGCTGTTGCTGGAACGAATCGCGAGGCTGGACCACTTCGGCCACCTCGTGTACTCCGAGCCGACAAAATTGTCAAGCCATATTCAAGCTCGGATGCTTATGGATTCAAGGTGTTCAAGGTACATTCAATAATTTATTTGGGTGTATTTTTTATCAGCAGCATATTATCAATTTTTTCATTTCTCACATATTTATTCAGGACACTGATAGAGGAGAAGTTGCCGAGACCGACGAGTACATCACCCATGCATCGATCAATGATAAGCTTGTGTTCTTGGTGACCGATCGGCAGATCATTTTGAGCAAGCGAACTGATGTGATGGGAGTATGGAGCTCGGACTGGAATGTGGAATATTCAAAGGTCAAAGAGCCGGAATTCATTCCTGGAGGTGTCAAGATTCTTCTAAAGGTGGGAATTTTGAAGAAATTTGTGACGTTGGGCAAATTTTAAACTGGTACAAATCGGAAATACTTGAACGAATGAATGTTTCAGGAGAAAAAGAAGGGTTTCCTTGGCATTGGTTCATCTGATGGCAAAGTGATCACGTTCGAAAATGCCGAACGAATTCAGAATAAGCTTCTGAGTGCCTACAAACGAGCCACAATGCTTTCCTAATGTTTAAATTATGTGCACAATATCCCAATTTCTCTGTGTTTTTATTTTGTTTATACGGTTTTTTCCTTCCCTACAACTCATTTTTACCATTGAAATGTCGGTCTTTTCTATTTTAATTGCCTGGAATAAATGTATGTTGGTAAATGGATTTATTTCTTCGAACAATTTCGCAATTTTTTCAAGGTTTTTTTCCAATCGGAATTTTTACGGCCGTGGCCGAGCCGTCGGCGTTTTTTTTCGTTGTGCGTAAATTCGGCCACACCGATATAATAAATTTTTTCGAAACGTACAGATTTGTAAGTTTTTCGATTTCTATTGTATGTATTAAATAAAAATTGAAACGAAATTTTTGAAGATGGTTGAAGAAACTTGCGCAAACGATTACGCGTATCCTTGGTATCCGATTGGAACATTTGAGGCGAAATTTGCGAAAGACAGATCGGCGACGTCGGTGATATTGTCACGGGTTTTCATAAAGTAGGCGAGAATAACCGCCGCAGGCCATTTATTGTTTGCTTGTTTGTTCAGATGCTTTTAAAAATATTTTATGATTAATTTCGAACAATAAAAGGAAATATTCGCGGAGAATTTTTTTGAACGCTTTTTCAAACGAAAACAATTGTGTCGCAAGCACCACAAATCACGTATTAGGCTTAAAAGCATTTTAAGCTATAAAATGCAATTTCATTCAAGCTTTTAGTTTTTTGAAAAAATCGTCTTCTTTTAGGGACTACGATTTGGTGTCGAAAAGTCGGTTTTCGGAGAAGCAAGAAAACGAGCGATTGAAAATTGATACCGAGGCGATGGAAAATGAATTGAACGATATGGAAATCAAAGACGAAAAAAGTATAATAATCAGAGAATAATAAATTATTAAGAAAAAAATGAAATGGTTTTTTCGAATTGCAGCTTTATCTCCAACCGACCCAATAGTGAAGAAGTTCACAGCGCGTACCGACACGAGTAGCGGAAAATCGCGAAACAAAAATTCGCGGAAAAACAAGAAAATCGATGGGGTTTATAAGAATTTCGATGAGTATTGGCACGCCGCCGGCGATTTTTTGTCATATTCCGCGTGGCACGCCGATTATCAAGGCGAAATGGCCGAAGCCGAATCCAAAAAGCTGAAACGAGCAATTGAGGACATTGATCCGATTTACGTTCTAGAAGAGCATCGAGACATCGCTGTAGGAACCCTAGAAATTCGTCATTAAATTCGTGCACAAATCTTGCAGGAAAATCCGAGATTCAAAGGGCTCACCGTCGAGGAGCGAAAAGCCTCTGGAGATTGCGGATTAACCGCTGAACTTTATTCGAAGCATTACGAAATTGTTCGAAAATTGGCTTCCGAGGATTTTGATGCGTATACGAGGAATTTAATTAAAAGACGGACGCAGTTATTTTTGCAGAAGGTTTATTTTCAGCAATTTAATCTATTAAAGAGCTCGGCAAAAAATAATAACTCAGTTTTTAGAGATCGAATCTCGCATTTTCCTTTAAAAAAATTCATGATTTAAAACTTTTAGGTCGAGAAACTTGGATTTGTTGCTGGATATTCGCCAGATAATGAAGAAAATAATGAAGGAAACACGGAAAAAGAGAAAAAAGAAATCGAAAATAAAAATGATGAAATTTTCGATGATTTAGAATATAACATTGATGAACAATTTGCGAAACCACTTCACAGGTATCGATTTTCTACGTTTTTTTTAAATTTAACAATTCTCTAATTTCAGCTTTTTCCGGAAGGACGAGGATCCTGAAGTTCTTCCGCCAACCTCGTCCAGCTCGAATAAACCTCCGGCTTCTGGAGAAGTTTCATTCGATTTTGATCCAGAAAAAGAGCCACATTTAATTGCATCAAGAGCCAGAGAGTTTTATGCAAATGATCCGGTAATTAATCAATTCAATTTTGTAAAAATTTTTTTTCTCAGCAAATTCGGAAATATCTCAATCAGAAATATCGGCTATTCTCGCGGCTCGATGAAGGTATCATAATGGATCGCGAAGGCTGGTTTTCGGTGACACCAGAGAAGATTGCCGAGCACATTGCGGATCGAATGGTCCGCGATGGGCGTTCTTTGATCGTTGATGCATTCACAGGTGTCGGAGGAAATGCAATTCAGTTCGCATTAAGAGGAGCTTATGGTTCGCTTCATTTTATCTTTGCACTAGTTTTGAATTGGCCTCAAAAAATCAACGTTTTTTTTTCTGAAAATAATGATTGAGAAGCTTGTTAGGAAGCCGAAAATTTTTAAAAATAAAAGTTGGGATGAGTAAAAATTTGTCATTTTCCAGTTATTGCGATTGATTTGGATCCAGTCCGTCTGAAGTGCGCTCGTCACAACGCCAAAGTCTACGGCGTCGATGAATACATTTCGTTCATCTGTGCTGATTATTTCAATGTCGCCGCGACATGGGCCAAAAATCCCGAGCATGCTCCGAAAATCGACGCGGTGTTCCTCAGCCCGCCATGGGGAGGACCATCATATTTGAAGCAGACGGTATGATGAATCGAATCTCAAACAAAGATTTCCATTCGAATTTTGTAGTCGTTCGATCTTGGCGAAGATTGTTGTCCGAATGGAATCGACATTTTCGACGCGACGATGAAAATCACCCGCAATATCGCCTATTTCTTGCCGAGACATACCAAAATGAATCAGCTGATCGATCAATGCCGAAAGATCAAGAGCAAGATGGAGGTCGAGCAATCATCGCTCAATTCGAAGATAAAGACAATGACTGTCTATTTCGGCGAATTGGCTGTTTGAAAATCATTGTTCATCAATGTTAAATCATTATATATTGTTATCTCACCCGATTCGTCGCACTTAAAATATTAGTGTTTAGTTTTATGTTCATTTTGCTTATAAAAAAAATAAAATTTAATAATTTATTAAGGAGCAAGAGATGAATAAAAATGATGAAGGTGCATTTGGTGATGGAGAGGGTGTGGGTGTATTGGTGGACAAAAAAAAGAGAAAAGTGCAAAAGAGATAGTTGTTTTCGCTGAGGAAAATTTGAGAAATCTAAAACTACAACTAACCGAAAAAGATGCCAAAAAAGGATCACCGTGTACAAAAAGGAAATAGTAAAAAAATGAAACAGAGTTGTTTGTTGGTGTAATAAAGTGACCGGTTTAGGGATGGTGTGGATTTTCTTTTGGGCTTCTAATAGAACAGATTGGGGGGAAGTGGAAAAGTGCGAATAAAAAGAAAACATGAATAAGGGAAAAATCACTAATAATACCGCCTAATTACCCAACAAATAGGCAGCTCACCGGACGCAATATTCGCGAAATATTGGTTGAAAAAACAACAAAATAAAAAGAATAGAATTGGAAACACTCACACTGAAAGCTGATACACATTATCGGGGACCCGTTTTGAGAATAAGCAAAACTCGAAGAGGAAACAAAAAAAACAATAATTAGACTATCAAAAAACTGACAGCGTGTATTTAAAAAAATGCAAGAGATTGGATGAGGGGAGGCACTTGAGGCGTTTGAAATTTTATACAAAACCATGTTTGAAACACTATTTGAATTCGGGACCGAAGTCGGGTATCTCGATTTCTTTGTAGCCTTTCAGCCAGTACGTCGTCTGCAGCCCTTTGCCTTTCATTTCAACGGTTCCGCGAAGATCTAATCGGAATCCGGGATCGCGCGTCAGAATGTCATGCGTTTGTTGCGAGACGTGAATTCGAAGAGCTGAAATCGGCTGGGGGATTAAATCGGCGGGATAAGGTCTCGAAGCGACTCACGTAAACCATTGCTCTCCATTCGACTCGACGTGTTCACCGTGTCACCAAATAGACAATAACGAGGCATTTTCGAACCAACGACACCAGCAACCACAGAACCTGAATACACAAATATTTTATCATAAATTAAAAAAAAAACAATCAGGAATGAATCGATTTTGCTTGAGCATCAAAAAAATGACTAACCCGAATGCATTCCGATCCTTAATTTGAGCTGCTCATGCGGACGATGTCGAATTATGAAATTCTTGACCTTATGCAGCAGCGCCAGCGACATTTGTCCAATCTGCGAAGCATGATCATCGCGCCTCTCTGGCAGTCCCGACACAACCATATAAGCATCACCTGAGCATCATCAAAAATAAGAATCCCAAAAAAAAGGAATCGGCACAACTCACCAATTGTTTCAACTTTGTACACCTTGAAGTTATCAACAACCCCGTCGAAAGCCAGATAAAGATCGTTCAGAAGCGTAACGACCTGCATCGGCGTCGATTGCGACGATAGCGAAGTGAAGCCAACGATATCCGAGAAGTAGATGGTCACGCAATCATACGATTCCGCTTGAACCGCTCGACCCGATATCAGCTGATCGGCAACAGAAGGCGGAAGCAGCTGATGCAGCAGATCCTCGACCTTCTTCTTCTCAGCAAGATATTCCTGCGTTCGCTCTTCAACGAGACCCTCGAGATTGTTCGCATATTGTTCCATTCGTTTGAGCAAGTTATCAACGAGATTCGACGTCTCGTTGTCGCGATTCAAACTTCTCACCGCCTTCCGCACGTGCGACACCTCAGGCCGCTCGTGAGCATCCTCCGACCAACACGCCACCATCAGTGACAGCAGGGTGTCGTTCACCGATTCATCGCCTTCAATGATGTCCGGAACATAAGGTCGAACGAGTTCCTCGTCCGAACTCGGCTGTTTCGTGACGCGTTGAATGATCTCTGCAAAAATAACGAGCCTGAATAATATTCATCGAAAAACGAATTGATTACCGCATGGCGACAAATCCTCGTTCTCAAGTGGGAATACGCCTCGTCGGAAGAGCATTTCATGAAGAATGATCGCAAACGAGTAGATATCTCCCTTTTGTGTTCCCATCGGCGGCGCATTCGGGTCTCGGAGCAGCTCAGGAGCCGTCCAAAGAAGTTCTAAAATCGCATTATCATCCACAAACTGAAGAAAAAACTCACTCTTGTAGAACGCGTGCTCTCCAATCTCCTCAATGTTCGTCTCCTCGAGCGCGTGCAGTTTGTGCAATCCGAAATCGGTGACTTTGAGCACAAATCGGCTGTCGACGACGCAATTCGACGACTTCAGCCTTCCGTGCGATCGAATCTCGCTGTTGTGCAGAAAATACAAGCCTTTGACGAGATCGTGAAGCAGCGAGACTTTCATCATTTTGTCGAGCTCGATCTTCTCATTCTCAAGAATGTCCTCGAGCGATCCTTTCGGACAATACTCGGTGACAACACAATAATGCGGATAGTCAATGCAAGCACCAGTAAACCTGAAAATGAGGCAAATTCAATTAGGCGAAAGTGGGACTTCGATGAAATGAAAATACCTCGTAATGTGATCGTGCTGCAAATCTTTCATCTTCTTCAATTCCATCAATTGGGCTCTCGACAAATCCAACCGCGGATACTTCTTCGGATCAATATTGAGCATTTTGATCGCCACCATAACGCCCTTATAAATTGCCGTTTTGGTATAAATCTGCGTGTTATTCTGTGCGATCGTCTCGATCGATCCGCCACTTCCGCTCTTGAACGACACCATTCCAAACGACAATTTTCGATTTTTCAAGCTTAATGATTTCTTCGCAACATTGTCGTTGTCCTCTTCATTGCTGTTCTTTTTCTGAAACACAACTCTACTTTTTCTTTCTTTAAAGTTGCCGTCAATAAAATCGATTATTATAAAAATTACAAATTTTATCTATCAAATCTATAAATTTCTATTCACTTCGAGATTTCAAAAAAAAAAATCCTTGGCTTCAAGTTGACTAGAAAATGCTTTCAATAAATCAAATTTGGATCCGAGTTTGAATCAAAAATGCCCAAAAAAGGTAATGAAAATTTACCTTCGGATCCGAATTCGACGACGGCGACGAGACGCGTCTATCATTCAGCGGCAATCGGAACTGAACCTCATTCAGCGGCGAACATTCTCCATTCTCAGCTTTCTGAAGCGAGTTCGGTGTCAATCCGCCATTCTTCGTCGGATCAGCTGCCGGTTGACTCTTTTTCCTCGTAAAAATGCTCAATTTTCGATCAATCATCGCCGATATTTTACGTGTCGCTCCAGAACTCGAAGATCTCTGTAAAAAACTCTGGATTTTCTTCAAAAATTGAGTAAAAAATGGGGGTAGGGGGTAAGAGAAACCCAAAAATGGATATTGTGCGAACACAATCACCAAAATCAGGCCAATCAGTTTGCTTATCATTCTATCAGTAAAAATGATTTGAAAATCGTGCATCGAATATGCCAACGGGTTTGTGATATCTCATCTGACATATTCCATAGACGATTATTCCACTATAACTAGGTTAGGCAGCTTTTTTCAGCAAGCGGTCAAAATCAACGCAAAAATGTTTGAAACGAAAAACAGAAAAAAAAATGATAATCAACTTGCAAAATTTGTCTAAAATAGGTTGAAATAAACGAAAAGTAAAAAAGGATAACAAAAATGATAATCGAGTAGATCAGGGAATCAAGAATCAAAAATTAAAAAAAAAAGAAAAGGAAGCCAGAAAAGTGGAGGAGAGGTACCGAAACGAAGGATCCGGTGAAGAGTGCGCGCCGCGTGCAGAAAAAAAAACAAGAATCAAAAGGATTTTACTAACACTTTTGCCATTATCGCTTATAAACCTCGCCAATTTCTGGCTTCCGCGTAATTTGCACGTCTGAAAAATATTAGAACACTAGACAAATAATGATTAGATTAAAAAAAATGAAGGTGATATTCACAATACAATGGATGGGAAGAAAGTGAAAATGAATAAATCGGATGAGAATCGGATTCGTTGTGCGAGCATGCAATTTCGTGTAAATTCTCATGCATTCTGGACAAAAAATTTCATAATATCAATAATAAAAATCGAAAACCGGAAAAAAAATGTCGGCGGAAGGTTTTTTTAGAGACTTTGTCGATGAAATCGCAACACAAAACAAAAAGGCGACGCTGTTTTTTTCCCCTATAATCCAGTTCCCTAAACTAGAAAAGCAAAAGTGAAATCTCACGAGAAAAACCTGATTCAAAATATCCCAAATGAAAAAAGAGAGAGGAGCCAAAAAAATCAAAAATCGCATTGAGAAGCGCATAAAAAGAAATTCGGCGTACAGTACACAATCCATATTAATACAACACAAAAAAATAATATTGGTGAACACGATATTGGTGGGTGGTGTGAATAATTGATTATTTGGCTGTTCAAATCTTCAGTAACTAGATCACCAATCATTTTCATCCAAATAGTACGATTATTTTCATTTTTGTTGAAATTTAAAAAAAAAAACGTTTCTCAAAAAAAAAACGTAAATGATTATTCGGATCCATCTTTCTCATGTACTGTAGAGTTGAAACAACCGAATAATCAATCAAAATACTATTAACCCATTCACATAATCGAATAATAATAAATAGATTGAACCTACCAATCGAATTCTCATCGGTATGAGACTTTCTTCTTCGAACTGCAAATTATTGGGTGGGTGAGGCACGAAAAAATAAAAATCTCGTGGGGGGAGAGTGATTAAAAAATAAATGGAAAATAAAAAAAATCAATTAAAAAAATGGAATATGGGTAAATTTTCGTGAAAATTTCCATTTTTTTTTTAGTTTGGGAAACGAGAAACTAAAAAGGAAAAAATGCACATGATATCCACAATGTAAAAAAAATGAAAAAATCGATGATGCACTAACATTCGTGAAAAAAAATGAGATGAAAATAGATAGGAGAAAAAGAAAATAAAAAGAATTACCTTATCCGAGTTGACTGAAGATCGACTCGTGGATCGGAGGAGTGGATCAGATTCGGGAAGATATCCATCGTGATTCTGAAATCCATGACATTCTCTCATCGACATCAGAATTTGAAAAAAAAACTTGAAAATTCGTACCAATTTCATAAATAACTAGGCAATTTCAAAAAACAAAAGTGAAAAAAAATTTAAGTCGAAATGTTCGACCATCTTTAATTCGAAAACCTTTATTTCATTTTTATTCGCGCTTTTTCCAATTTGATTCACCTTCTTCTTTTTCGATTTTTTCTTCTCCTTTTTTGCTGATTCCTCGCCATCAAGCTCTTCCCATCGAATCTTCCAGCTCATCGCCGCAAGCTCCTGCTCAAGTTTGTAGCGACGCCAGAAGAACACGAAAAGGCACACAAGGACAAGTATCAGAAGAGCGGATCCGAATAACAAATATACATGAAGCGGATATCCTTGCTGAAAGAAAAATCGAAATCAGAAAATGAACTCAAAAACTCTTTTAAAAAATATACCGGGCATTTGCTCTTGTCGTAACCGCAAATCGGCAAATCCGTCGGCGGTTTTCCACCAACCCAATGAAGTGTTCCAACAGTGTGAAGCTCATTCGAAGCACCCGAATAGTACGCAACTTCCTTTAAAAAAAAACAACCACGATCGACTCGGTTGGTAGATCATGCTTCCTACCACGAATTTATCCTTCTCCGGATCCAAATCAAGCAGCGAATAATCGGAATATCGATCGCCGTTCTTATCAATCGACACATTTCCAGTTATTCCGCCGAATGTTCGTCCCCACATTCTCGACGTGATGTTGTGTCCATTCCGAGGATCCATTCCGTCTCGAATCGTCTCATTCAGCGCAATCGCGTACAAAAGGACGGCGTCGTAAAACGCGCTGATAAAATTGTTCATCTGAAATCGAATTGCCATTATTATTTTTTTTTTCTCATAAAAAATCGAATATTTCGCTATTCGCCAATTCAATTCAAATCCATCCATTGTTAATTCGCAATCAGCGAAAAAATTGCGAGTGCAAACATGTTCCGCTATCGGGTTACATTGGGGAGAAGACGAAAAAGATCTCTTTCGTCAAGAACGATATATCGAATAACCATTAACTATGATTCGCGAACAAAGATTTGCGCGTCAGCAGGAAGGTGCAAAAATTCCAGCCAATTCACATTAAAAAAATGATTGCAAAAGAAGAGAGTGAGAGAAAAGGCCAAAGATTATTTGAATTCAATGTTTCAAATAGTCTAGTGAATGATAAATCTCGCCATAAGCGTAGAACAGTAACAGTTTTCGATGACTATTTGTGACGGCGTTGTTCATGATTTAATTTTTGTATCACGGCACAATCGATTTGGTTTAATTAAAAACGCATTGAAAGTCGACATTCAAAGGCGCGTAAAAATATTTTCAATTCGCTCTAATATTAAGTGCGCTTCAATTTATCAAATTCGTCCGTCTTCAATATTTGGAACGTTACAGGCTGGAAACAATAAAACTAAAAATTCGCTATCCAGTAAAAATTTGAAATATATTTAGGTGTTTAAAATTACCGTTTCGATGCTATTTAAAAAATCTTTTTTTTTCTGAAGACAATTCCCGCGAAATTCGAATCTCGTCTTCCTCACCTCGTATTCCTTTCCGGTGATCAGCGAATAGTTGTACTTCTCCTCGGCGCGCTTCTTCACTCTCGACTCGAAATTCTTGTACTCATCGAGATCGGATCTTCGCAACGAGATCGTCTTCAATGCCCGGTACGCTTCTTTCGCCTTCTCATTCTCAATGTTGTTGGTGTCGTTGGAGCGAATCCACGGCTTCTCGGCGTGCGATCTGCAAATTATGAAAATCGTTTCCCAGTTTCCTTCCGGGCGTCCGCCAATTTTGCCATCAAACGCCAAAAAAGGCCAAGTCAATTCGGAAAAGATTTATGAAGAGAAGAAATCCAAAAAAAAAAGTTCACCGCAATTTTTATGCCAAGAAAAAATGAATTCGTGGTTTCAGTTTTTTTTAATAATTATTTTTCTTCAATTTCGCTAGTTTCGCTTTTCCATCGCCCTCAGTTTTTCTTCGAAATTCACATGTGTCGCGCCCGAAAAAAAAAAGAAAAAAAAAGGGCAACGCCGACGATAGCGGGGCGGAAACGAAATGGAAACACGACAATACGAATTTCAAAGAGCAACAACACAAGGCAGCGTGAGCACGAATGAGCAGCGAAAAGTGTCATCCCCCGACGCAACAAAAAGAAAACTTTTGCTCTTGCTCACAGAAATTTTGCAAAATTTACGGCATGCACGGCAAAAGGTCAATTTCAACACAAAACACACACACATAATTTCTCAAAAAGTAGAGGTCAAACAAAAAAATGTGTCTTCGTAAATCTACACCAGAATTGGATTTCCCTGGAAAAAAAAAATTTCCTTCAAAAGAGATCATCGTCATTTTTGGAATAAATTCGCCGCGACGGCGATCATTGACGTCTCCTCCGCCTCAATATGTATATTATTCGCCAACTGTCAGCAGCGGCGAGTTTGATAAATAGGCACTTCCGCACCTCATCGCACGCATGTCAACATTTTTCCATCAAATGAACCCCCCCCCCCAATTATTATTTTTTATTCTTCTTCGAGGGAAGAACAGGATGGCGAAAAATCAAGGAATCAAAAAGCATTTCTCATTTTTTTTAAAGGTCGAATCTTCTACAAACTTGATTCACCCGCAAATGCCACGTCATCATGTCATGTTTTCATGTTTAAAGGCGCATCAAACAGAAAATTGAGTTTCAAGGAACAATGACCAACACAAATGAATTTCATTGAAAACATTAAAACGAGAATCTATCAACAATTTTCTGGCGACTCATGAGGAATGCATGAGATTCGACGACAAATTGCGGACAACCAACTCACCCTGTCGAGACATCGATGTTGATGAACACGTATTCGCCGCTCGTCGCCATGCCGAGGTCGTGTGCGGCCAGCATGATCTCCCTTACAGTATCCGGCGAAGCGCATAGTATGATCACTGAAACAAAAAACCGATTAATTCGAGTCAGATTTTCAAATTTAAAACACAACAAATTTCCCCTCTCCCAATTTCACATATTCATTTTTCCCTTGCGTTTCAGCGTTTTGTCGCCTCAAGGCAATCACCGTTGCAGCTAAAATCGACGAGAAATGAAAAATAAAATCTCAGACAAAACAAAAGGAGAATCCACGTTTCGTTTAGATAATTAAAAATGAATCGCAGCACAATTTCTTTTCGCTTTCGCCTGTTTCATCGACCTCAAAAAAACTAACACAAACAAAAACAAGGATTTGTTTGGCTCGATTTGGGAATTCCAATTGTTTTTTTCTGTTCTTCCAAGCCCATCAATTCCGTTTGATCTACCCTATCTCGCTCGCCCTTTCTCTTTCTCACTCTCTCTCTCTCCCATTTCCTAGGTGTCGACCATTTCAATTCCATTTCCTAAGAGCTCCATTACCCAGGCTCATTTAGCCGTTGGCAAAAAATAATCAAAGACAACAACAACAACAACAAAACCAAAGTTAGTGCATCTTCTCGTTTCGCCTCCTTCGGCACCCTTTTGGCGAGAAAATCCAATTTTTCGCTCTTCTTCAAGCAAAGCAAAGCAAAGCGAAAAAAAAACGAAGGGACCCTTCCTTTTTTTTCGAATCAAGACTTGTGTTGTTTCGCGCGCGCGCGTCGCCGCCGCCACATCAGTTCCCTTGTCTTTTCGCCTAGATTTTTTTCAAGCTTCTTCTTCTTCTTCTACAGCTGCTGATGCTGCTGCTGGCTGCTAGCGTGCATGACTTCTGCTTTTTCTCCTTCACATTGCTCTCGTGGGAATATTTCAACAGCGTGAATCTGATGGCTTTTCACACCAAACACACTGGAAGAAGAAGAAGAAGAAGACCGCAACAAAAAAGATTCAAAGACGAATGGAGCAGATGCGGGGAAATTCTGAGCAAAGATTATCTGAAAAAATTGGAACGTCATCAGAATATCTTCCTTTTCATCGTAGCAGCGAGCAAAACCCAAAGAATCGATCTGCGGACATTTTGAATAATTCACGAATACCGCATTTTGCCTCAAAAAACCCCCACACGAAACATTCGTTCTCAAATTTTGCCAAAAAAAAAGAAAAAATATCGAACTAGAGTATTTTGTAAAATAACAACAAACATTTTTTTGCCGGATTAATAAATCTTTGCTCTCAATGCATACTCACACACACACACACACTGACTGACTGACTGGCTGGTGGTTGGGTTGGCTGCAGTCCAATCAATCGCAATCAAACAACAAAAAAGTAGGAAGGCGAAAAAAAAAACAAAGTTTGATGAAGATAAATGAACAAGCTCAATCAACAATGACTGATGATCGGGTCCCGAAGCGAACAACAACAACGAAAAATCGAAATGTTCTTTTTTTTTCTCGACAAATTGCGACCCTTCAGAGCTAACTGCGGACCATACACCATATTTTATGAGCATTTTACGATTTTCGTCATTTTGCGTGCATTTCGTCGAGGATGACGAGCCAGTGAGAGCGACGGGGCCGCAAATTGCAGATTTGCAAACCCCATTATTCGTTTTGCACCAAAAAAAACGGGCAACATAAGAAGAAGAGGAAGAAAAAAAAACCCGCATAGATACGAGTGGAAAAAGATGGAAACTCATTTTTTTAGGCATAAAGAAAAACCTTGATCAACGTTGACACACGAAACTCACAATTACTGAACAGCGAGGCGTCTCGGAGGTATTCGCGATACTTGTGCCGTGTCATCGCGTACTCGGAGAACATCTTCACATCCCAAATCGTCGAATTATTGTGGAATATCATGTTTTTGATGGCCGACAACGAGAAATAGCACTCGGATCGACCCTTGTTGTTTCCTCTCGCCACCTCATCATTGAACATGAAATAGTAATGATGCCATCGGAATCGTTCGGCGATTCGCGTCACCAATTTGCCGAGGCTCTTGTAGCTGCCCATCACTCGCGTCAACAATGGGAACTCATTTCGATCGCCGAGCTCGTCGGCCAACGCGGTCGTCGTGAAAACCGGCACTCCTTTGTTCCAGAAATGACTGATTCGCGCGATCGGCGCCAACGCGTAGACGTACGGCAGACCCATGATGGCATCGACCGTCTGATTCACGTAGTGCTCAATCATCTTCTGCGGTCCGATGGCGTCCGAACACGCCGAGTCTTCAAACGTGATCGATAGCGAGGCGGGACGAAGGAGGCCCAACATGTAGACGTCTTCCAGCGCCACATCGAACACCGGCCGCGATTTGGCGAGTGTAAGCAGGAACGGATTACGCGCCGTGTCGTCGTCATTCTTCGGCAAACCGACGACAATGTCAATCGGAAATTTCGACTTGTGATAGTGTGTGGTAGTGGTGCCAAGTAGTAGCGGTAATATCAACAAATAGCTTAGAATCATGTCATCCAGCTCGTCGTCGTCAACACCATCATTCGCGAGACGAACTTTTTCGTTGGATCAGTGACGACGGCGGCGGCGGCGGCGGGTGGTGGCGGTGGCTTCGTGCGAATGGACTCCAAGGACGGACTCGGCCGAATGACTGCCTCGTCCGACGACTGACTGATGAACTGAATGACTGGGGGGGGGGGCGCAAAACTGCACGAAAAGGCGCGACGGGCCAAAAAAAACCACGCCGCGGGGGGGGGCTTTGGTGGGCCACACGAGACGGCCGACGGGGGGCGACACACGAAAGCCACGCCCACAATTTTTCCTCGGCACTTTCTTTCTCACTGCCGCCGCCGTCGTTGCGGCACAAAAAAAAACGTTGGCAGAAGAAAATTGGAGAGGAGGGGCCCCGTCGTCGTTGAATGAGAAAAAACGCGTCGAGAAGAAGAAGAAGAAGACGACGACGATGAAGATAAAGCAAAGTCGTTTTTTTTTTTCTAGCATACACGTTTTTTTCTGCTTGCACCTTCGTTTTTATTCTCCGCAATTTCCAAAACTCAATCATCAATCATTTTTATTGGTGTTAATGGTCCCTTAGATCATGCCGACAAGTTAAGGTGGTCCCAAAAAAGTGAAAATTATTATTTTTAGCAGATAAATAAGGTGAAAACAAAAATGTTCTAAAAAAAAAGAGGTCGCCACTAATTTTTGGTCCCAAATCAACTAATTTCCAATCAAATCACTCGCGTCTTGTTTGTCAGGAAGTCAACCGACGCCTAATTCGCAGCCGGCCAGCCGGAATTCACTTCAACCAACTAGTTCTCGCTCGTTTTCAAAATCGCCTCGCCATCAATTTTAGTTTTCCAATTTCCTCGCGATTCCTTCTCTCGCCACACGCCTCAAGATGGATATGTCGTGCTCATCCGACGATGGTCCCCCGTAAATAAATAAGCTCAAAAAATGGCTGACTGCAAGAGAAATAGTAAACGAAGGAGCACGAGGCAATCGTTGCGTCTCCTTCAGTCTTCCTACCCAGGGGGATTAAGGATCGCACGGATATCGGGGGGAAATTGAGTTCACCTAACAACTAGAAGAAGAAGAAGAAGACGAAGGAAAGGAAAACGACGTGGAGGACGATGAGGAGGAGGGGGAGGAGGTGAAGGAGGAGGTCATCTGATTCTAGAAAAAAAAAGTGCAGCTGAAATAAATTCAATTTTCCACAACAAATTCCGCGTCTAGAATCCGAGTTTTCTGCAACAAAAAATAACAAGTGTGAGGGTGAAATCACCTGCTTCTGAATGCAATTCGTATGAATAAAACATTCGGAGCATTCCCAAAAATCTCGAATTGTAAGAGCCAAGAACAACACCACCTAGTCATTGCCTCAAATGTTGTTGTTGTTGTTGTTCTCGGCTATAGAAGGTCACGACAATTCATTTCCCGCTTTCTTTATTTTCTTTTTTTTTTCTCATTTAAGCTTCACACCCAACCCTTCCCTCAATGTACTTCAAACAATTACACATTTTGCGCGGGTGTGCAAAGAAGGAAAATCAAAATCGCGTGCCGCCCTTCTGGGGGCCATCTTTATCTTCAGCCCACTTGCTCCTCCTCATGCCCACTGTAATCCAATCAAGACGAGATGATGGAGAGAAGGGCTCGGAAAAATGTGTGCAGCTGGTCACAAATTCCATTACTATTATTATTATTACTATTATTATTATTACTATTATTATTATTATTATTATTATTATTATTATTATTATTATTATTATTGCATATATGTCTCGTCTGTCTAATGGAAATGTCTGAAAATCAAACAAAAAAAAACGCGGAAAAATCGCATGCCGACTCTCTCTCTCTCTTTGAATATTCTCAACTCAACAATTTTGGAAATATTCAGAATACCGTAATCGATGAAAAAAAAAGTTCGAGCCAATTTTGTCTTCTCAATATTTGCACTTTTGCGCAAATTTTCGCCAATTGCAGCGGAATAAAAAAAAGAGAAAAAAACCAAACGCTAATAATAGGCAATTTTTGAAGTGGAATTTTTTTTGGCGTCGCTCATCATGAATAGGGCAGAAGAGACGAATAAAATGATGATGAAAAAAAAGAAGGAAAGTGCAGGACAAGTGGTTTAAGGACTTTAGAGTTCACACGTAATCCGACGAAAAAAATTGAGAAATTGTTGATTTTTCAAAAAAAAAATTGTTTCCTAAACGAAACCGAGTCATAGGATAATTATCGGCAAAATTAGCAATGTTTTTTTTTCTATTTATAAATATCAAAAAAAAAAAGTTAAAAATAGGTAAATCGTCTTGTGATAAGTTGAGAAATGTCAAATTTTTTTAAAATCCATTTCTGGATCCTCTTGAGAAGACGTCAAAATACCAAAATTTTAAAAATTCTTTAAAACAAACAAAATTGTCATATTGCTCACTGAGCTCATGATTAATATCAAAAGGTTCCATATGGGTCTCGAAAATACAATCTTTAGATTCCTTCCTATGATTTTGGGTCTCGATTGGAACTTCGCAAAATTCTATAAAATGCCCTCAAGAAATACAACAAATTTGCAAAATATTGCTTTCAACACAATTTTTTAGGAGGGAAATTGAATAAAATTGAATGTAAACCAGCAAAAAAAAAAATGCTTCCTTCTGATATATATATATAAATACAAATTCCATTGCCTTTGGGTCTGTCTGATACGCAAACTCTGGAAAACTGGCTGAAAATGTTCCATTCAAAATTCCCCTCAAATTCCCCCAATAATATCAGAAAAATTACAAGAAACACGCGTCCAAAATTTCTCAGCAAACATTTTCCCACATTAAATGTTTCCAAAAACAGACATAAAATATTGCGAACAAACATTCGTTTGGCATTTTATGGACATTATCGCGTTCGATTCAGTTATTCGAAAAAAAAAATTCTTCTTCATTTTTGTGTTGGGTTAGTGTCGAAATCAGTCGGTCAAACAAAAAAAAACCGACGCGTCGCCGGTCGCACAACATACATTTTGCATGCCCAATTGACCGCAGTTTCACACGCGATTGTTCGTTGGCGTTGCAAACATTTCCGGCGAATTTAGACGACTATTTTCGGTTTACTGACTCAACGACAATTTTTGAAATTGAGGAGGAGGAGGAGGAGAAAGAAGAGAAAGATGGCAACGACGAAATCCGGCAAAATCTCACAATTCAAACAATTTTTTAGGTTAAACTCTAGGAAAAAAAAAAGATAATACATCTAAATCTTGAAAATTAAAATATTTGAAATGAAAAGCCCTCTATTTTATGGGGGATTTCAAACAATAAATTAAATTTAAATATCAAAAACTACTTCGTAAAAAAAAATTCCGAACCATTTTAACTATTTGTGGCACTTTTTTTCGTGATGAAAAAATTAGAAAACATATAAATTTTAAAAACTTTCGCAAGAAAAAAAATGTTTTCAAAATAAGAGAAGAAAAATTCTCTCTAGTTGGTTAAAAATACGAAAGTCTCGATAAAAATCAGCATAATGGGCTAAAATCGAAGCTTAAAAATTAGAGAACCGACTACTTTTAAGAACTACACAAGTTTTAATGTAAAATAATTCGCCTAAAATTTTGAATTTCATTCTTGTTATTTTCTTTTGTGACACTCGCTCTAATTATGCTGAAAATTTTCTGACAACAGAAGACGAATCAAAATATTTTGGCGGAAAGCTGATCTGTTTGAAATACGAAATACGAACATTTTGCAAGATGTCGATATATTGTAAATTTATTTAATCGTGCATTCCACAGAATCCAAACGAATCGAGTAGATCAACTCGAAACACCACTTCTGGTCCCTTAAATCTCGTCATGATTCCCCACCAGCTCCTTCATTCCTTCCCCCCCCCCTATACCGTATCCCATGTGATTCGACACCCCGTCTCAACCGGAATTCCAGCCATCCAGTCGCCCCCCCCCCTGCACGAGACGAAACAATAATTTCCGTCGCTTCATTTTGTTGTGTCGTCTTTCTCTCTGCCATCATCTTCATCATCGAACACAGGGGAGGGGCGGCGTCTGATCAATTTTTGCAGAAGCGTCAACAAAATGACGAACAAGAAAAAAAAAATGACAGCGTGTCGGTAGAAGAAGAGATGCAAAGAGAATTTATTTTTTTTTTAGTACCTGCTAGCCTAGATAAAAATTAAAAATAGAGGTGGACGCAGAGAAACAGACAGATCAAGTGATAGGCGGGAAGACGAGTCGAGAAATTGATTGAGCAATCAGCACGTTTTGCAAACGCGACCAATCAGTGTTGTTTCAGAACTGATACGCGATTAAAAAATTCGAACTTTGATATCGAAATAAGGTTGATGCTTATAAAATAACTATCGAACCGGTTCCTCTACTACGCAATTCAAATGAAATTCATGTGTTAGGAACACTGAATATTCGAATGATTGATCATCGCGGTACGGCAACCAGTCAATTCCGAAAATATCGCCAATGAAGGTTAAATTTAGAGTTTCACGTGATCGATTTCTCTTAAGAATTTTTTCTTCTTTGAAATTAATGAATCTCGTGCCGAAATCGAAATCCGAGCGGACATTCAGAAAACTCACAAAATCCCTTCAAAGGAAGTGAAGTAATTCGGCATTCGAGAAGGCTTAATCTTTTGACTTTGAAAATCCGGAAATCGTCACCACTCTTTGACTCTTTCTTTCACAAAACTTGCAAGCAAAATTCGTCGGGTCCCTTTTTTTGCAAGCAACAAAACGGAACGAAACAAATTTTGCGCTTCTTTTCCTTCTCCATACAAACATGACAGCCTTCCATTCATCATAACCATCCGTCAATGTCGCCTTTGCTCTTCCTTAGCATATTTGATCCCAAAACCCCCAACAGAGGAGAAGGCGGAGAAGGCGAAAAAGGTGGAGGAGGTGGAGCATCACACCTAACTAAATGAAAAACAGTCGGCCAATGTTGGTAACATTTGATTGATTGGCCATTTTCGAAAACCTTATCAATCAAACAA